CGCTCAATTCCGAGTAGAGGGCGTAGCTTACTCGCTAACTGCCCAGCATCTGAACATTCGGTGCTCGCCCTACTCGCTGCTTGTCGATGAAAGGAATTGCAAACATTCGTCAAGCACCTGGGCTACTCAGGAATGGGAGAGCGGTCGCTCGCTACTTCCTAACGAATACACATGTGCGGTGTCTTCGTGCCATTCCGCGTCGCGCGAAGGGCCAGACAAGTGCGGGCTGGGGCGTGGGGCGATCGCCCTCGGCAGCCAGCGAGCAGGCTGCGCCGCCGCCAACACAGGAAAAAGTCATTTGGTTGACTTGTTTCCGGGCACCTAAACGGCTGCGGTTAGTAGTCACCTTCGTGCAGAGAATGTTTTGTAGCGGAAGGTGGCTGTGATACAGCGCCGACCTGCACGCCGGCTTATGGGAGATTTTCCTCCCCAGATATCTCTCCCAGCAGGGATGAGCTCTAAGCTCCCGACATATGGGACAGTGAAAGCTAAATCTGTAAGCGAAGAGAGGACAAGAAAGAGGAAGGAAAGATCGCATGCGTCTGTGGAGCGTATGTTAGCGTACTGCTCCACCAATCTCCTAGTATTAATAGGAGAAACTACTAGAAACTACCTATAGTACGATTTATTTGTACGTGCGTTTGTAGTAAATAAGCTGCTGACGGTTTCATCCAATCGGGAGCTTATATGTCCCCACAGTGACGTTACTGTAGTGACGTTCAAGCTCCCGATTGGATGAAACCGTCAAGAGTTGATTTACTTCAAATGCACGTATAAATAAATCCAAATATATTAGAGCAGTCGGCTGCTAGAATTCTGCAGGCAACGGCTGAATTCGATCTAGCTGTCTAGTTAGCGACGAGAATCTCCACCCTGGGACACGAAACGTAGGACCGCCCGGTCAGAGTGGCTGCACAGACAGCAGCGATGTTTCTGAGGTAAAGTCAGCCGGTAAAAGTCGATTGGCGCGACGCGGCGCGGCGCGATGAGGCGCATTGCAAACGCCAATCCTTCTCCTCCTCCTCCACCTCCGCCTACTGCGCGACCTTCGACCTTTGCGCGTCGCCGGCGGGCGCAGGTGCTCCTGTGGCCGCTGGAGAGCGCGACGCCCGCGGCGCGGCGCGGCGCGGCGGCGAGGGACGCCACCAAACACGCGACGGCCGAATTCCCTCTTCGCGAATGCGAATTTGCGGAAGGCGATAGCAAGGCACCCGCCCACTTTATTACTATAACTATTATTATTACTACAACTATTATTATTACTACAACTATTATTATTATTATTAATAAACTATAACATCCATATCCAGGGCAAAAGCCTCCAACTCTCTGATGTGGTAACTCACAAAACGAACTTACAAGGTGAGCTAAAACCTGGCGAAGTTAAATTGTTTTTCCTAATCATCAATTCTGTTATATAGAGATATATTCCATTAGTTTTTAACAAAACCTGAGATTTTTTCTGTTGCACTATTTTCACTGTTAAAAAAACTTTGCTAACATGTCACTTATCTTAAAATGTATTATTGACACTCACCCTTTTCTGACTTCATCCACCCCGCCAGTCGCCCACCTTTATTCAGGCGCATCTGATTGTAGCAGGAAACTTAGTGAGGCGATGAAATTCTCATTGGCCTCTCAAAGCCTGGCAGTACCACTTAAAAAACGTTTCTTCTTCTTGTAGATTACGTTTTATATCGTACGGTCACTGGAAACGCCCATTTCGTAATTTTTGCCTTTAGAGGTGGACATAGTTCCTATTGGGGAGCATAGCCCCCACGCCCTGTTCCCAAAATGCAAACTATTTAAATTTTTTCCCAATTAATGGATGTTTCGTTGTTCAAAATCTCGTCACTATTTGTGGCTTCATTCTCTGCATCAACATTCTTAGCTAGTAACAGTCTCTCCAACACCTCCTTCACACTTCAAGTAAACTGCTCAATCACAGGTTTTGCAATCAGAAAGAAGTGAGATCGCGAGGCCGCGAAAATGCGGTAGAAGGGACTGCAGCTCCAGCCTTATTACTCAGTTCATTCATGGGCGTACGGTCAAGGCAGTCCATCCTCTCCTTATCCCCAAAAATTACTGAACCTATGTTTCAAAGAGGACACGAGGGATCTTGAAGTGGCCTACGAACAACAGCCCCTCCGCATCGAAAACATGCACGGTCCGCCCATGAGTTCATTTGATGTATCATGGATAACTTCGACGCGATGGCACGTCCATACTGTCACGATGAACGATCTGGACCTAACCAAGTTGTTTTTTACGGTTGAACTGCAACCTGCAAGCCTTAATTATTTACGAAAAAACTATCGTAACACATTTCACTACAATACAAGAGTGAAGAATAAAGTATTGAAATAAACTGTTACTACAGGAATTTTGTACGTTTTTATCACTTTAAATAATAACAAAAAACTATAATTTTCGTTTACGTTTGACATTATTTGTCTTCAGAATTGGGCAGGCGAATGTTGTCAGTATTTAAAGAGATCATGTATTAATTATTAGATCGATTGTGATACTGATCTCACAATTCTTATAACAAAACTGATGCCAATTTCATGAAGTTGGACTTCAGATATCATAAGTATATAAAAATTATTTTCTGTTTTTTTAAAATTTGGTTTATTAGTGCAACTTTCAGCTTTACAAATGATTTTTATTTTCCCCATCATTATTCTACCCTTTCAACGCTCCCTTTCAAATCCGCACATCCTCTTGAAGAGTTTTGCTGAGAGTCAGCATTGCCGTTGTCTATACAGCAACTCTGGCCGTGAGGTAGGAGAGTTCGAGTCCCGACGATTTCGGATTTTCGACACTAGCGAAATAGCTTGGTCCAATTCAGCCGCTGTCTCGAGGAAAATTCTAATGTCCGGCTGCACTGATTGGTAATTTTCCATTGTTTCTCCGATCAACGCCCGGCTAATGGCAGATTAGTACCCTAACAAACGCTCGCGATCTTTCTTTCCTCTTCCTTGTCCTATCTTCTATTATTTACACACACTTACACTTCCATCCATTGCACTACCACACATGTAGGGAGGCCAATCTGGAGCTTAGAGCTTATCTGGGCATGGGCGGTGCCCGGCTGGGGGGTAGATACCTGGAGTGGGAAATTCACAGCAAACTGACGCGCAGATCGGTGCCAGTTCTCATCAACCAACGGAGGAACACCGCCACCTCCCACGAGAAAACATTCACTCCACTAACAGGACTAGCGACCCCAGCAGTTGATGTGCCCGGCAACATCACAGCAAACTGACGCAACATCAATCAATCGAAGTAAGTCTCGGTGGCCTTCGCTCGCGCGAAAGGCGCCTCGGCCGCTTTCACCAAACGCCTCAACTGATTTCATTATGTAAATTGCCGTAAGCTCTCGGAATTAGAGGGTTCATTACGGGGGAGGAGGGATCGGGGAGTAACGCGCGAAGAGTGCGCGGCTGCGTATCTCACCGCAGCGCTTGTACGCGCCTGAAGCGCCCGGCGGTCCGGGTCAGTCGTCGCAACGAAGTGGATGGGTCGACCAAGTCCAAGTCTTCATGCACTTAACAGCTCTATAAGAGGATTTATCGTAGATATGTTGTTTCAAATGCTCGTTGTAGAAATGTAATATAAGGTGCATTCTCTCCGCGTCTCTCGCTAATAGTAGAGGAGAAATCGGGCTTCGAAGAATTTAGGAACAGCAAGATATATGCAAAGATATCGGTACAATATTCGAGCGTATGTGAGCGAAGGAGCTCAATAAAATAACTCGAGGCTTTGTACCTCTATGAGGGATCAGGACATTCTTAAAGAAGGCCACCATTAAAGCCTACTCATAAAGAGGAATAACTAGGGGGTACGGCATATTTTTAGGGGGTGGCAACACAAAAACGAGATATCCCTCCCCACGCATCTCTAGATGACAAAATTTAGGGGTAAATGAGTTTCTGACTAAGTTCCCAGTAATTTCGGGTTAAAACACAAGGGGTGCAGCGATTCGGCTCTAAATCAGGAAGCGGCCCTCTCTCATTCATCGTTACCATCTCCAGGCTCTACTCTGTGGGATGTTACCGCAGGCAGAGTCCGCGTATCGCTGCGTTACACACCTTTGAAATTGACGAACAAGAATAAGCGAGGGTATTTTCCCCACCGTTCAAAATCGACAAATATCGCTTGAAATAGAAAGAGAATCGTGCTTTGTAACGTCACGCACGATAAGAGACGATAATTTCACGTTGGTTGCCCATATTGACAGGTGTCTAAAATGAATCTCGACAGTTATTAATGAAAAGACAACAAAAGTACATTCTTACAATACAACGGACAAAATGCATTGCGGTGCTATTTTTGCATTTAGATTCGGTAATAAGCCAAATACATCTAGTTTACTTCTGAAGAGTTTGTTTTCAAGAAATAATTGTTATTTGAAGTCGACATTAGAATGTCGTCAAATCCTGCGTTCAATTAATTATTCCATTCCGTTCAAACTGGCGCAACTGAACAACTGGACAAGTAACGCAGTTGGGCGGTCCTAGGCGCAAACCCGCCCACCGCAAGGGCGGTAGCGCCCGCCGTAACGGGGCGGGAGCGCGACGGCCACCAATTAGCGGGGGCAGGGAGAGGCTCGCTGGCGGAAACAGAGCGTCCGTGCTGCCCCGCTTGTGCGGCGCACGGATCCAGGACGATGCGGCGCGGCGGAGACAGACGCCGACCACTTTCGATGCCCCGCGCCCTGGCGTCCACCTCGGGCCAACAGGTGCCGGCCCCGACCCGCACCCCGTGACACCCCGCGTTGGGCACCAACCTGTGAAACGATGACTGCCGCTGGAGATAGCCCGCTCCGAGATCGCGCTGACACCGTTGTCGTGCTCACTGGATCCTCCACTGATCACACTGAACTTTCAAAATCGTCGCACACACTCGTTTATTATTCACAGAGACACTCGAAGAGAAGTTGATATGTGAATCGCGCACTTCAAACAGTGTTATTTTACCGCCCGTTTCACTCACACCATGCGTTTGCACGGGCCGCGCGCCGTCAGAGCAGAGCAACAGGCGGCGCGGGCAGGCGCGTTCCTCCCGAAGGCGGTGCGCAGATTGCAGTGCGACGCTGCCGAGACGGACGAAGCGCCCGCTAGGTACCAGCACTGTCGCGCGAGCGCCACCTACCCGCAAAAACGAATGATTTCACATGGGTTATAGTTTGCAAGTTTGACGCGTTGTACCGCCACCTGAATGACCCTATTGTAAACGAATAATACGAACCAACTTTTAAGTAATGAATAAGCCCGGACGATAGCGGATCGCAAGTCCACAATTACCTTGCTCTAGATCGTAATATGTACGTAGTGGGCTGGTAGCGATAACCCAACAAACGATACTACACCTTTCCAAATGTGTTTGCGGGTATAAAAAATTACAGAATTTGTCACAATTTTGAGAAAGGTCAAACCGAGTAATTTTTGTTTTTCAGAAACTTTTTTTATTATTTCTATTTCTGAAATTGGAAATGCGAATAATTTCACCATGTAATTCTGATTCTGGATAAGGACCTCAAAACGTAATTTCATTGAAACATTATTTCCCATTGGAATTAAGTGCAAATTAAACAATCAGTCCCTAATAAATTTTCACTTTGTTTTAGAATTAAATGCTTTGTTTATTATAACAGCATTCATTTAAATATTAAGACTGGAATTAAACGAGATTTTATTAAAGTCACTAAAATTCGAAGCATATTTTTATTCATTTTTAAAAACCTTAAGATTGAAACGTTAATACTAAATATTTTGTAATGCCTCTGATCAAGTATCCTCAAAAATCCATTGAAGCACTCTCAAATCAAATGTAAAAGAATGTATCTTAAAAATGCATTTAAACCATTGGTAACAATAATTTTATTGTAGACCTAATTATCATTTGTATTTTGTAATGTAGGTCCTGTCATTTCATTAAGATCTATGTAAACTTCCTCCTTGTCAAGTACAAATCTACCAAATTTATTGCCTCTCTCAGAATAGACCATACTCACTTACAATGAAGGTAGACAAATTGATTCATTCGCCACACATCATTTGTATGGTCACCCATCTCATTGGGCAGTTACTTCTGTGGTGAAATGGAGAATAAGACACAGAATATCACTAAGAAATAAAAAAATTGCCAAATGTGTCTTGGTCCTTCTTCTCACTGAACAAAAATTCATCATCACACATCAAATATACATATACACAAGAGTGGATCTAGAAAATTTGTTGGAGGGGAAAATTATTATTATAATTTTTTTTTTATTATTTCTACAGAACAAAAATAATAAATGCTGTTGGAATAAAAAGTATTACTAGACCAACACATAAGATATATCGTTTTATTTGTTAATCAGGCTTCTACAATAACTCTTAATGATTTTTTTATTAAAATGATCTCATCGTTTGTTTTCTCTGGAATATTTTACTTTGGGTAATCTTTGAGACACCATTCAAACAATACTTGTGTGTGTGTGTGTGTGTGTGTGTGTGTGTGTGTGTGTGTGTGGGGCATGCATCTGTAATAAAACATAGAAGGGTTAACTTTCTCACCAAATTTGTGATCAAAATTTGAAACAGGAAATAAATGTTTAAATTAATCAAAAAGGTATTTTTAATTTGACATGATATATTTCATCCAATTTTTAATGAAATTGATATCAGTTACCCTGGAAGTGGGAAGAGGAGGAGATCAAAATGGAATGTTCATCTCACGGGAGGTTTTGTCTTAGTAATTGTTTAATAAGTTATAAAGGGGGAGGGGTAAACAAATAAATTTTGTGTACACTTGGTTTTGAAAGGTCCCTTTTCGTTTTAAAAAATTTCAGTTTTTTTTGTATTGCATTTTAAAATATATTTCTGCTTAGTTCTTACTGAAAGTTTTAACGCTGCTATTTCTTCACAAGTAGTACTCAATCAGTGTATTTCTTTAATAATTATAATTGGTTACAGTGTCAGAGCCTGTTTCCCCACCAAAATATTAAAAGGCTTTGATTCTTTCCCTAAAAAGGTCATGATTTAATTGGGTTGATCCTTCACATACACATCTGCAACTTTGCTGTATGCAAAATGCACAGTGCAGTTTTTCATCCATAACTTCTGTAAAGAATTATTATTTGGTAGCAAAATAATATTTTAAAATGATGTTGCCCATACTGATCATTATGGCCATCATAACACTTGTACCCTGTCAGCATTTCATCAATGTACAGATTAAAGAATTATGTTTATCTTCACTCCATTAACTGTTTAGTAGATTTTAGTGTATTAAATAAGGTTTCATTAAATTATCATGTACAATTTAATAATTTGTTTGAAACTATCATATTCACTTTTAATTTTTTGAGATAGTGGATGTCCTATTTTGTTCAAGAGCTTCCACTTAACATTCAATTAAGGTTATGAAAGTTTCAAAATTATATTTTTTCTTCTATATTAATATAGATTCATCACTTAGTAAATCACTATTTTGATTTTCGATTCATCATGCTTGAACACATTACAGAAAAAATAAGACTACTGAAATTTTGAATACACTATATGGAATATATGTATTAGGTACTCAACCTCCCCCTGTTTTAATGTTACACCTTTTAGTGGGCCAGTATTGTAATCATAGCTATGTGCAGATGGTATGCTTTATGTAATCATAGCCCACAAGTGTGCATGTTAGTGAGCTAGGTCAGACAATGTTTTAACTCACCTTTAATGATCATCTAATTTCCAAAGAAACTAAATGAAATAACTACTTTATTAAAATAATAAAATTTCATTGGATATGCGAAATATATTGTTAGGAAATTCATCATTCACATTTTTACTTGAATTATACGAAACAAAGTCTGGCTGAAAATAAAGATGTTGACATAATTCTTGTTGGACATCCACCTAGAAATATTTTAAGAAAACAATTTTCTATTGATTTAATTTTTGTTTGAAGTCTTATTGCATTGCATACTTTTAACTAAATACTTCTACAGTATTAATTGGAAATACAATTGTTAATTGCATTTATGGAAATTAATCTAATAATGATAACCTGCAAATTTGAAGTTTTTGTGCATGGTCATGATAAACAATAGTTGTTTTATAAAGCATTGTATGCTTATACAGCTGGAGTCAATATCAAAGAATGTTTTTGGGCTGGTAGGCCATGGTCCAGTTGGTGTTTAAGGACCAAATGTTTCATCCATGAATATGATTGACATCCTCAGTGGTAGCACGGTCATGAGCGCAGTATCCCAGGTGGCCAGATGCCATTCAACTGCTGCCCACGACCCTGCCACCACTGAGAATGTCTGCCATAGTTTTGGATGAAACATTTGACCCTTAAAGCCAACTGAACCACAGCCTATCAGCCCAGATAATTACTGTTTACTTCTCTCATAATTATAGTTTTCATGACCTTACAGTTACACTTGGCTCTAAATAATTTTTGCTGAAACTTTTTATGTGTATGAATATTGAATCAGTAAAATAATTAATCTCTGACTTAAGAAATTTTAAAGCATCATTAAAAATTTTGATTTAATTTCATTATCTACCAAGTAACTTTTTCATAAATAAAATTCTGGGCAATAGCTTTGATAATTAGCAAGCAAAGATGAAGTGGTGTGATTAGCCATCTTGTGTCCAATTTCATGACTAGAAAGTACTAGTATCTTGGAAGCCATTAAAAATTTCATTGCTCATTCATTAACACAATACAGCATATGAACTTTCATCATTCCAAGAAATTGAAACTGAAGTAGAAACTTTAATGCTATACTTCTTTTTCATGAATTTGAAACAATGTGGACTTGGAATGATACAAACTCAACAACGGGCCAAATTCTACTTTTTGTAATAATAGCAATTCCATATACATTTCATAGGTAATAAAATTATAATTTTTTATACAGTCATTTGCATTCATAGGTTTGGTTCATCAATTGCAATCTTGTTTGTACTAAAATCTGATGTATCTAATTCTTGATTGAAGGCCATAAATTTTACACATTTTCTTTTGGGTACCATTGATACTTATAAGTATTGAAATGGGCCATTTGTTCCCAGTGATTATATATTGAATCTCAAAACTAGCTGATATTATTTTTAGGGATTTTATAGAAATTATGAGAAGAATTGTCTTCCTCCATCTGCCATTTTGCACAAACAAGAATAATAATAACAATGGTAATAATATTAAAATTAATAAGAAAAGTGGGTATGAATTTAAATATGGGATATAAGGGGTAAAAAAATAAGTCTGCAATGGGACTAAGCAATTAAAGAAAAATACAGCATTTAAATAAGTTCATTCATATATTTACATTTATATAATAATAAATTTGTAAAACAATTTTGAGTTTTTAAGAATGAAATATAATGTTTCTCTTCAACTATTACCACTACTCTCAGATTTGATACAAAGGTACTGATGTCTGGTACAGAAGGTCACTTTTAGGCTTCATTTTGTTTTTTCATTTTTTCCAGTTATTATTATGAACTTTGGTTTCTCCTCCAGAATATTTGTTTCATCTCATGCCTAGTACTTGTAACACCCCCCCGAAGGCTTGGCTAAAGGCTTATACAACTTTTTTAATGTTTTTATGACGCAAATATCAAATTTTTCAGATTCTCACACACTCACATCAGTCTTCCTCTAAATACATTCAAGGGTCCACCATGGCCAGGAAGAAAAGTACAGATGAGGGTATAGTTCTTAGTAATTGACTAAATTTTGAGGTCCTAGTAGACAATTTAAAAATGGTTTTGAAATAACCAGCATGACTAAAGATAATCTTGACCCAGCACCTTGCCACCAGCACAATAAAATATAAAAGATTGAAATAGATTTCCTGTATACGTCCCAGAGGAATAGAAAAATGTAAAAGTTCATCAAACAAAATAAAATGCAAACATTCAGCATATCTGTAACAAGCAAATACAATAAACTCAAAGCTTTAGAACTACTTCCTCGGAAAAAGAGTGTGGACCAGCTATTCTGCGGAATGACGCACTGCAGAAAAGTTTTCTGCATTCTGTGCCTTTTCATCCCATCTTTTGTTTCAGAACATGCATCACTTGAAAATAAATAAAAACCATCATTAACAGATCATAACACACACACACTCATGCACACGTGTGTGTGTGTATATATGTATACACACACACATATATATACATATTTTATAACACAACACATTAAAATCACACATTCAGAATTTCAACACCTTAAGAAACTGTGGTCAGAGACAAACCGAGAAGGGTCAAATTTGCTCCCCTTCTACCCTTGAGCAGAAAAGACACTAAACAGTGGTCCACCACAGAACAATCAAGATGGCAGCTCTGTTGTACAGCTTGCAACAATTAACATCATTATTAGAACAATAAAATAAATATGTGAGACAAGTCAAAATAAATAAAATAAGTCGGCTGAATGCCAACTTACATTAATTACTACTGTACAACAGGCACCTTTCCATCCTCAGCACATAGCCAAGCCTCCGACCCCATCTAGCCACAGTTCCACATCTTGCACTGGGAATGTGGCTGGTGCAAATTATTGGAACGGAACCAATCGGATGAAGACAAATTAATGCTCGGAAGATACACTTTGGCGAGCAGAGGAAGTAACTCGTTGGCCTTTTGCACAGCTTTCCTCAATATATAACATACAGTATATAACAGTATTAGTACCTCAACACTATAGTATATACAAAAATATACAACCATTGTTTACTTGTGTGGCTGCTGGTGAACCCTACACAAAGTGCCGCTAGCCTTGGCCGTAGCACAAGCTGCCTGGTAAAGGAACAGCTTTTTATATGTAATATATATAATTGTATGTATATACCAAGTCTACAAATGCTACGTCTGCAAAATATTAAGAAATCCTCTCCCGCCTGGCTAAATGTATGTTTGAGTGCTAAACACGTCCTGAGGCAGTTGATGATGTGTCTTCAGGAGAGCGAGCACTACTCATCTCTTTGAGCCTCTGGATACCCACTTGCACATACTTCACTAGATCTTTCAGCGAACTGTGCAGGGTCAGTGGACCACACGAGCGATCCAACTGAATGAAAAAATCTGGAACAGAGATTATATATAAATTAACAAAATTGTAACTTAAATGCAAAAATGTTCTGAAACCATGCAAATTGTGAATATAAATTTCCCAACTTTCAATGAAAAATAGTAAACAAATACAACATGATGTCAAATTAATTCAATACTGTTATAATCAGGGACGGATTTTGATAACCTAAAACATTGCCAAAAATTATCAATAAAATGCTTTTAAAATGTTTATGAAAATGTCCTAAGAGCAAAGTGAAATGATGTAAATTTTTTTTATCAATGAACACTTCAAGCTGTTGGATATTTTACTGATGTAATTGAGGCATTTTTCTTTCGTTCAAGTGTACTCAGCTTGCAAACTTTTGGTTTGGACCGTTCTTTACCACAAAATCTGTCTTTAGTTATCCTAAAATTGGACAAACCCGCAATGGTGTTTATAGGCGTCACAAGAACCTTAGATTACATACAATGGTTGACATTACAATGTCAGAGCAATGAAATCGAATAGGCTACTGAGTAATTCCGTTGAGAACTTGTTGAATCTTGTAAATATTATTTGTAGCAACATTAAAATGAAATTTAAATTAAAGAAATCAAACAAATGTTTTAAGAACTACAGAAAAAGGTAAAAAACAACTTATTAGTAGAAATCTACAAAAAATGCCATACAAAATTGGATCTTTTGTCTGTCATATCATTTAATTAACAACTGTACTAAAAGGCATTGTTCTAAAGTGAAAAGAAAAAAATTACATTTCATTAAAAATTTGCCCCCTAGTTATAACTAAAGCTGTATTTAGTACTTTGATCTTGTACATTTATCTCTATGTGAAACATATGAAAAAGCAACTTTCTCATATTGCTTGTCTGAAAGAGTGCAAGGAAAAGGAAAATTTCAAGAAAAGATGATTTGATTTTATACTTGAATTTATTTATGCATGCATTTGAAGTAAATCAGCTGTTGATGGTTTCATGCAATCAGGATCTTCAATGTCACCATTGTCATGTCACTGTAGCGACATGTAAGCTACCAATGGGATGAAACTGTCAACAGCTGATTTTCTCAAACACACATATAAATAAATCATACTGTAGTTTAACTTTCAGATCTTCTCAGATTTTATTTTCTAATTATTACAAAACTCTTTGAAAGAGGTACTAATAATATTAAGAACAGTAAGAACAGAAGACTTGGAGTTCAAGATTTACAATCTACTTTCCTAAACCCATTCATTTTCTTTTGAAATATTCCATAAAAAGAGATAAGTATTACAGAACATTTATTAAAATTAGTTATTGAATTGCCTTGAATTACTGCACTAGATAAAGAGGCCAATGAAATTCATTCCTAATCTGAAAATCTTCCAATAATTGGAACTGAGGGATTATGGAATAACTGGATTACAAATGAATACTTAAATTACTGAGTATACAAATATGCATGTCTCAACAGTACAGCAATGATAAGTAATCAGGCTATGTAGAGAGATTTTATGTCAGTTTAAATTGTTGCAGTTGTTACTGCAAATACATTTTATGAATGTATTATATTATTCAGCTGTTGTGCAGATACTATATTTGATGTGTATGTCTTTACACACATTATTGTCATAAAATGTTTGCCAATAACACACCTTGACACATGTGTGTGTTTTACTGAAAACTTTATTTCATTTGGTGTTCACCACTTCTAACTGCCTTGTAGACTTTGTAAGGCACCCCCTCCCCCGAGATGTTAAAGATATCACAAAAATAAATCAACTCAATACAAAAATAAAAATAATTTTTCTTATGAAAAGATGTAAAAGAGCAAAGAACAGAATACATCGACAAAGCTGAGGTTTGTTTGGAAGGCAAAATGCCTTCAATTGTGATATCAGATCTGCTGGGGTACAGTGTTAGTAGATTGTAAATGGTATTAGGACTCTCAAACTCTACACACTAGTGACAATCCAATGATTATCAATGTATTTTGTTGGTATTTGTCTGTTTGTCTTTGTTTCAAATGAGTAGGTTGGATAGGAAAGAAAACAAAATGATTGTTTATTCTGAATTTACCTCCTAGGTAAAATAAACACTTCATGGAGAACACATTGGGGAATTGATAGGTAAGAAAATATTTCTTATGTGAGTAATATAACATAATGCCAAAATTGAATATGACCTTCAGGAAACTTACTAAAAAGTTTTAAAATTAATTTAAAAAATTGAATATACCATTGAAAATTTTTTATCAATGAAATATTTTACATCTTAACGACAACAATTTAGTTCCACTCTTGGTGATTCATTTTTTTTCATTGCTCCCTTCATTTCCTCCATCCTGTTTTTAGTTCTTTTTTGATTCTCTCATTTTTATTTTGTTTTTTTACTTGATGCCCTTAAATTTTTCTTTAAAGAAATTCATTTCGTCAACTTCCAACACTCCATTGTGTTCATGTATACAGATTTCTGATATGAATTTAAGCAATGATTTCTATGTTATGTTATGTATTTTCATAAAAGTTTCTTTATTTATATTACAGCCAAAGTAACTATTGTTCTTTTGCTTCTACAGTATTTTTGTAATTTCTCACCTGTCTTTAATCTCATTGCATTGCATTCCCAAGATAAAGACCCCTGACCTCAATTATTAAGTTGCTTTTTTTAACGTCTGGCTCAAGTTTTATCAAACACTTCCCTTCAAAACATTTTTTTAAAACCTAATTTTCCTGTCTATTAAATATCAATGAAATTTGTTGATTTTAGAACTTCCCTGATCCACTTTCTGTCCTGGACTTTCCAAATAACTGACTGGGAGAAAGTGGCCATCCTGTGTGTGGCATTACAAATACAATTATGATTTCAATGGTTTGTGGCGTGACAAACATTTCATATGTAAAACATTCTGCCATAACATATACATACAGTGATTACAGTTTCTATTAATCTTTATTTCAAAGCATGACGTTAAGTATATTAAATATTAATGAAGTGCAATTCTCTGAAACATGAGTGCTGATAAAATATGGTTTCTGATGAACTTGGTGCCCAGTACCCCTATGAACACAATTTATTTTTTAATCTTCTACATAATGAATGAAAAGTGTCAGATGCCACTGGGACATTTTTTGATGTCTCTTGTTAAATATATGCTACCTACACTGCTACAATCTAATTCATACAATATTAAATAAAATACCACTAGAGAAATGATAGGCTTCATTAACTTTCACTCACCTCTGTGCTTGGCTTTGTAAACGAGTGAATCTGCTTGCTCCCACAGTTCATGACATGACAGCAATGACAACACATGTTGTGACTGCTTATGCATAGCGTTGTGCACTGCTATAGGCACCGATAAGCAAGGACCCATGCTGCCAGAAGGCACAGGTGCTGGCTGGGCAGTAGGGGGCACAGGAGGAGTGTGCCCTACGGCATTTGCTCCTGCCCCCCGGCCAGCCAACTCACCACTGCTGTAGCCTGATGACTGGCTCCCTACTGACCCCACTGAGCCAGCAGGTGATGGAGTTGGTGACATTGGTGATGGAGTGCCCTGGCCCCCAGCTGCAGCCGCCATGCCACAGCCTTCATGTTGCAGCTGGGTGGTTTGTGGTGCCTGCACGTAAAACACGGACACTGAATTAACAACTAGCCTGCATCACTTTAATTGAAAGTAAATTACATATTATCGGACATTACATATTTGGAAGGATTCTTCTAAGAATTTTCCTGCTTCTCTTATCTTATTAAAAATTATTTTAAAAAAATTAAAATACAATCAAAACATGAATTAGAAATTTTCATTCATTTTATCTTGAACTCTGTAATTCTCATTTCTATATTACATGAAATTCAATAATTCCAGTAACAATCACAATGTACTTCGGTTTTTGAGGCAGATACAAGGAATTGCAGTAAAACTAAAGTCAACATAAGTAGTTCAAGGTATAGTTTGCTTATTTAATAAAAACTGTTATCACACAGGACAATGTGCCTGCGAATGTTGCCAAAAAAATACAATTTTGGCAATTCACTATGTGCCATTAATATTTACAGTGCACTAATGCACTTCATTACAATTTTGGGTTTATTACACTGCCTACGTATTCAAAGTTTTATAAAAACACAAATTATGCGAATTGATGGAAATCCATGCTTCAAATCAGACTTTTTGATTGTAACTCGTAAAGACATAAAGGACTAGCTCCATTGCCTAAATAAGCTCACAATTTATCTAATACTGCTACACTAGGATTTATTTAACTACGCACTTGACATAAATCAGCTGTTTACGGTTCTATCCAATTGGGAGCTTGAACGTCCTGATAGTGACGTCACTGTAGTGACACATAAGCTCCCGATTGGATGAAACAGCAACAGCTGATTTACATTAAGTACACGACTACATAAATCGTACTATACACAACTGGTCACCTATTTTACAAACAACAATGCAAAATACAATAAAGCACTATTTCTTGTCCAAAAATGTTTAAAATGATTCATTAAAAACTGTTTTTAAAATGTGCATGTTTCTTGACAATGAATTTAGAAGATCTACATGGGAACTTTAGAAAATAATTTTCTGGAATGCATACTATGTAAATCATTGTATATATCAACGAATCTCAGAAGTCTCATTTATGAAAACAGACCTCAGTGATCACAAATGCAGCTGCTCACCATTCCTAAATAAATGAGGGACTATTGAAATCTTACAGACTTTCATGGTTATTACTTTCCAGACCCTCCGTTCACCCTAAGAAAACACCTGATGTAAACAAACAGAAGAAATCTTAGCGTCGCACTACGCTTCTGATTGGACACTACCTAGTGCATCATCAAATCTCATTTCAATTACGCAAGTATTATACCCCACCAATTCAAATGGAATAAGAGCTGTCACCCAAATGTCATGATCATGCAACTACTTTTCTAACGATCAGTCTGCTTCAGGAAGTGGTTGACAATAACTGGATGTCAAATATTTGTTTAAATTGGTCGGTCTAAAATTCGAGAGTTCTTGATTACAATTCACAAGCTGCCACAATTTTACAAATGATTGCGTATTGTTTCTGCACTTTTGCCAGTTTGATACCAGGAATGTACTATTGATCGACAAAACCGACTACAATGTCATCGTATGATTCAATTACAGGTTTCTTCCCTTTTCTTTTCTTCTCCAAAATTGGTAGTTGTCCTTTGCCAGTGAGCTCTTTCCGAAGTTAATATATGATGGATATGGATATTTCAGTGAACACTGCCATTTGCTTCACCGGTAACAACTAATTCATATGCAATAACAAATTGAAAACATTCAGAAAAATGCGCTTTTTGCTACTCTGAAGAAATTTTCCAAACGTGTGTTTAATTATTGAAGGCCAGGCACTCTCTGAGACATTCTAAATTGAACTGAATAGCAGAGCCTCGCAGAACGATTAGCGGTGTAGCATCTGGTCCCAGGAGCAGCGTCCCATGTGCCTGACCCACATTGATCAGCACATTCACGGGCCGAACCGTCAGAAGCTTGTAATCGTATCGCAAAGAATACAAAGTCAGTTAATTTAAAAAATGATCGAAGATAAATTAGTTCTTAAACAGAAAACTATTTACTTTGGTGTCAGGATCCTTACAACATCAGAGCTGACTCTGCAAACTAATGAGAATCATTGTATCACACGTGCATTTGTTTACATCAGGTTTTCTTCTTAGGGTGAACGGATAATAATTATCTGGTGCAAATGGCTAGAAATTCCTAAGTTCATAAGAGATATAGATGGTAAGCAAACTTGGAATTAAAAGAACAAATAATTATGATAACAAATACCACACATTTTGTCATACAAGATAAAAATTACAATTTTGGACATGATTAAACTTCTATGCCTCCTTTTACCCAAAAATGTACAAAAACTTTCAAACTTAGGTAATTTCCACGTGGCAAAGTATCTTGAATTTATAAAAGATAATTCAGAGTACAGTCTTTAATCTATTCAAATGAATTTCAGAAATCCAATTGAATCAACATGAGGAGAAAGGGAATGAGTCAAAACAATTTAATTTTATTTCAGAAAGATGTTCTTTAAAGCAAGGCAAATTGTACTGTGAAGAAAGGAATTGTGTCATAACTGTGTCAAGTCTATAAATTGCAAGATGGAGCTGGCTGCACTGCGGAGGAAGGAATAAGTCATTGATATGTACCGTTACTCCTCAGTATCATAATTTTGGTTTGTAATGTTTCCGATGTGAATCATGGCCAACCCGTAGATTGTGGCACTTTAAACTCACATTCCCGCATGTGAAGTGGTTATTTGAGGTTGCAGCTATTGCAACCTACTCTCATGTCCTGGACAGAAGAGAAACTATGCTGTCCTCAGACGGTGTTATGGATTAGTAAATACTGGGAGTCAACACAAAATGGTGTACAAATTACCTGTATGGGGGCATCATTTTCTGGCATGTGACAGAGATTTTAGTAAATTTAAAAAGAAAATAGCAATTCTGATTCGGTATACACTCCAAGGGACTACTTGGAAATAATTTGCTAAGCTAAATCAAATACGTTTGTGTGTACGGTTTAGTTATATCTTTAATTTTGATAAATGATACTTTGCTAACAAATACTTTAAAAAAAGCATTTTATTCTGTGGAGTCAAGTACAGCAGAAATGCCTAGTTGTAAATGCAATCCTCTATGCCCAGTTATTTCAAAGAATTGTTTTAGTTTTAACGATCCTGGAATTGATGCACGACCATATATAAGTAGCTATGTAGTTTACAAAATAAATTAATTCATTCATGTAGTAAATTGACAATAAATTGAATTACAGGAATAATTTTTTTGTTTTGGTTAATTTTTTAACTTTATCTGCAATAATGTTTTCATGTTGAAATTGTTATTGTACTCTCTTAGTTATTTCTGAATTTATTGATATTTTTTTCTTGCCAGACGAAAAATGCTCTCGTGTTTAGTTTGACTAACCCCTTTTGAGTAGTCCCTTTCCCAAACTCTTTACAATATAAACTTTGAAACAAATTTATTATATTTGTGTAGCAACAATTGGCTATTCTTAAATATTACAGAAAGTTTATCGCATTTATGATTTCGGCAACCAGTTTTCTTTAAACTTGATTCTGACACTGAGGAGGAAGAACACATGTCAACAATAATTAAAACCAAATTCTGATGACAAAAAAGACATTTATTAGAAAGTACATTAGAAACAATTTAGTGTTGTCAGTGAATCCACAGAGAAAAATTTCAGGATATAATAAAAAGTGCAAGTATTATTTAATGTTTCCTTCCTCCTGAAAAGCTGTAGAAAATTACTTGTTCCCTTTCTCTTCAGCTCGATTCAATTCTGTTCAATAATGCACTCTCACTTACAATGTTAATAATAAAATTGTGGAGTTCTAATTCTAGAATTGTTGGGGGCACATGTTACTCTTGATTTACATTTATTTTCTAAACATACTAGAAATAAAATAAAATACATTAAAACACTTTTATTGTTTTAATTATTGAGTGATCAGTTTATAAAACGACCTGACTGTTTGAGGCACTGACAGAAAAAGTGAAAGAATTTCAACACTGCTTATAGGATAGCTCCTTTGACAGAATTTCTGCAACAGTCCCTTCACTAACCACCCCCTTCCTGTGGTCTGAGTCTGACTTAATCAAAGCAAAACAGGCTGTGTATTCACCCTGTTTTAAAGTTAACTTACAATGCACCTTGGCATAGAGCAATACACATTTGTAGTGGAGTATTTCTGAACAAAATCTTTCAAAGAGTGCCAACCAGCTTTCAGACAAAATTTTATCTGATTCTATTCCAAACAAGAATAGCATATTTTGGTTAGTGAAGTGCTATCACAAAGCAGGGAGTGTTTGATCAGAAAAATGGTTGCTGAAATACAGTGCTCACACACTGAATACTGGGATGTTATTTCAACTAGCCGAAAAACATCATTAAGGAAACTTCAGCAGCAACGTAGTCTTTTATATGGAAGTGTGCACTATGCCACAAAAAAATCGAAAATGCGCACATTCAAACATTTGAAAGCCCATTCGAAACAGAAGTGAGACCAAAGCATTAAAAAAAGATTGGTGCATGGTGTGCATTTCTCCATGTAGAATAATTGGTCTGTTGTTTTTCAAAGGAACAATAAAAACATACGTAACAGAATACATTGAGATGTGATGCAACATCAATGTTAAAAATACATTAACTAAAAACAATAATTGTTTTGGTCTGGTTACTAATATTAAAATAGTGTGCATTATAAATAATTCGACAGTGTGCATATTTATCAATTCAATGAATAAAAGTACAAGAGGTACGTGTAATACTAACGAGAGGTACGTATATAATTTTAAAAAAGTAGAAGAAGAAGACCCTATGCCTATAGAATATTTGTTGACCACATCAAATTCACAATAGACAAAATAGTAGTGCAAGGGCAAGGGGTGAGAGAGTTTGGACGATGAAGGTAATACAAATAGAGTTTCTTAAATTCCAACACATGAACAGTATTACCAACAGTTATAATGTTATATTTCAACTTTTACAGTATTGTGATCTTGGGAATTTTCAATTTTGAAACAAAAACATTGGAAAAGGAAAAACCATTGATCACAAAACATTGATGTTTTGAAAACATTGTCATCAATGTGACATTCCTCATATTGAGAAATTTTGTATCCATTGTTCTTGAAACAGATGAGAGAAATTGTTGGTTTCAGCAGGTTGGGGAGACATCATATATTGCCTGGTCGACAATTTCTGGCAGTGTCTTTTGGGTACAGAATAGTTTTCATGAGGTTTGTGGACTCTCATTTGTCTGATTGGTCACCACCAGATTTTTATCTTTGGGGTCAAGATTAAAGTTTATGTGAACACGCCTGCTAATCTCTGCAGAGAGATTCTCTAAGAGCTGCACAGAGACATTGAGAAAGTGAAATTTAAGAAACATTACACTGGGTTGCAGTGAACGTTCTCGAGCGAGTTAAGGTTTGTTTGTTAGCAAATAGTAGTTATTAATAACTTCACCTAACGCATTGTCCATAAATTACGTAATGCTGATGAGGAAGAGAAGGGGTCTGAGGCAGCGTTACAATATATTACATAGGGGTCAGGGGCTATTAGTTTCGTGTTATGTAACAGTGATATTCAGATTTTAACGTTTTTCAACATTTTCTGAAATAATTCATTTCTTGAGTCGTTTACTAAAGCATTAAAATATTAGCTAAATAATTTGTTTTAAAAACCTAAATAAACCAAAGTTATTGGTTTTAAATTGCTACAATAAATGAAAATACTGTTTCAACCTTTCTTTTAATCTGCAAGATTACGAAGAAAATATTAGAAACAGATGTGAAGTATATCCTAATAACCATTTAAATTTGCGCTGTAGACACTCCCTCTCGCATCACGACGATGTGTGCATAGCTTGTGATCAACCATTTCTTGCCTAAGCATTCTTCCCTCACTCACAACTTGCCCCCAATCTTTCTGTAAGGAACAGTCAGCATTGCCAATTAATTTCTACTTTAATTAGCGTTAATAACTTAAATGCACAACAGAAGTAAAATAAATACAAATTAGATTTACTGTGCTACAATTTTTTTACACTTCTTGCATTTACAGGGTGAGGGAGTCCACTACCGGTTACAAGTGCTTTAAATGAGGGATAGACGGTACTGAAAATATTCCAAATTTGCATAACATAATTTATGGACTGCTCCTAAGGAGTACACAACCTTGAGGTTGATTGTGAAACTCTAGTAACTTTACGAGCCTCAGAGCTTTGTCGGCAGAAGCCCAGCTTCTGGAAGGGCTTCCCATACTGACTAGGATGAAGGTGAGGGATCAGCAGAAGTACTCCAGAAGAGAGTGGGAAGTAAGTAGAGAGAGAAAGATCACGAACCTTTAGACTCCCTGTCGTCAGCCCATGGAGAGTACAGGAGAGAAACTGGGTTGGCACACTAGGCCAGTAAGAGTAGAGGCCCGAACCTTGCATTAGTCAGCGAAGGAGGCAGACTGATCAGTGAAAATCCCTTTGGGTTTACTAATGCCGACATGTGATTGAGGGTACACTTGTTGGGCCCTGCACGGGGGTGACCTGAAACCACTCTGGGTTGCAGTAACAGATAACAGGAAAAAATGTGATCTGTGAACTCGAAATTGCTTCCTGCAAAACTTCACTTAAAACCAACAAGCAAAACGTATAGAAGAAGAAAAGTAATTAATTTTAACGTGCTTTGTTCTAACAATGGCCCATACCTGCTCAGGAAAGGAGATAATGTCACATTGTCGACATGTGGCCATCCCACAGATGGGTCCCAGGGCCCCAGAGTCGGCACTAGCTCAAAGCTGTCCTCAGAGATAGACATAGATGTTAAATTAAGAGAGGTGATATGGTGCTTTACTATGCAGAAACGAAAAATGGGGGCAGAGAAATAGAAGTTTTAAGATATGGAAACAGTGGAACCCAGATATGAAAGCTATCCTAGAAGCTTGCCAGTCAAAGACAATATGTAATCAGCAGTGGATGGTTCACAAAGAACAACTTGCAGACATTCAGAGAAATTTGGAGTATGTTCTTTGATCAAACTATCCACATGATAAACATTCAGAACCATCTAATATCCCTGAAAATGACAGTCCTATTGAAGGGTCCTCTCTTCCTAGTGAAGCATCTGTCAGTGGTTAAAATTCATTTGGCTATCCACCACACGGTAAGGACAGAATCCTTCGCAGTGAGATAGAATGAGATTGTTTACTTCCATTTGTATCTCATGCACTGTTGAAGAGAATATACAAAATCCTCTAATAAGCTAAGAGAGTGATAGAATTTTCTGTATTAAATGAAGTTGTACAGACTCCATGTAGAGATCTAGGTATTATTGAACTTAATCACACTGTGTATGCAACTGTATATCTCGCACCTCTGAAAATTTTGGGGCAAGCCAAAAATGTCGATGGCCAGCAGCCAGACGAAGTAAACAGTTCCTACCTCCATGGGCAAAAAGAATTATGAAATGGATAGCTGACACTCAGCATGAAATTTTACTTTTGGCTGAGGCATCTTCTAAAACAATGCACACTTCTAAAGTTGAACGAAAAATATTTCATGTTGAACATAAATCCTAATTCAAAAGAAGGCTAATGGTAGCTGAGAAGCTAAAAGAGCCAATTTAATCTTGGGCTAAGCAAATTAGACGTTACAAATATAGAGACGATTTCCACGTATAAAATCACTTGTTTGAAACAGACGTGAAGAGATTCTATTGCAAACCAACTCAAAAACTGAATGACAATACTGTCCCTCCTTCAAAAGATGACATTGAAACATTTGGGGCAGGAATCTGGGAAGAAAGCAGATCGCACAACAAAAAGGCATCTTGGCTCAAATCTGAAGTTGATGCTGTTAAGACTAAGACCAAGCAATTGAGAACACGGGAAACTGGAAATTCTGGTAGATTGATAAGATCCAGATTTCTTGGATTAAGAAATGAACAGCTTTACATTCTCATTCAGTAAAGGCTGTTCATAAAATTTCAGAAAACCCAAAAGAACTCCTGGAATCGTTCACATGCAGTATCACTTCTTTGCTCCTCGAAGTGGGAGACGGTTCTTTGGCAAAGAATTACAGGCCAATCACTTGTCTGTTAGTATTGCACAAAGTTATAACTGCATCCATAGCTAACCAAATGTACAGACATCAAGAGAAGAACCATTTGTTGTAAGTTGAACAGAAAGGATGTCATAAAGATTCCCATGGCCGTATGGAAAGTATTGAGACAAGGTTTCTGCAGTGTAGGATTCATTAACTATTTCATTGGGGGACATTTACAAACAAAATAAAATATGTACATCAGTAAAGAGAGCTTCAGATCATTTGCATTCACAAAATGTTGCAGGTATATCTAAAAGATACATCACAGGATAGGTGTGAGTATGTAATGTGGGCACTTCTGGGTTTAAACATGCAGTTATTAAAAGTAACTAAGTGTATTGGCAAGCTTATTCCACTTGTAATCAATTTATGAAGAATCAGTATCCTTGTCACTACAATTTGCTTTCTATGCCAAACATGCAGGTGCATGCCTCTCTCTTTGAACTCATTGCCCCCTCTCTTCTCCTCTGGGTGACATTCGGGGAATGGGGATTAAGTCAGTTTACTTCCTGTCAGTTTACCAGCCTCTATCCAACCCTCAAGCGTAATTGCCAGTGAAATTTGCTCTGACTGATGCGAGTTGCATTTTAAACTGATCACCCAAGAGTTTGCATTAATATTTGCGAAAGTATTATTGCAAGATCCTTTTCTTGTAAAACTTTAATTTACTCAATAATCTATCCCCATATCCAATAATATTGTTCATTAGATTTACAATAATAATGCTGTCACAAGCTCTCATTATATCGTAATATTTTTATCACTTTCTTTAAAATAATTATGCAATTATTTTTCTCACAATTAAAATGAGTGCACATCACAATAGAGACAACTGAAATAGCAACAGTTCAGTACAGAACAAAAGGTAACAAGTCGAAGTCTAGAGTAAGATAAAGATATTTTGGGAAGATTCACGATCCCACACCAGTGTGCACAGATGTGGGGTCAGGGAGGCTCTTGTCTCCTCTGAAAATTTCAAAAGAACCATTATGCCTATAAAGGGAATCTCTCTTTTTTCTTTGGTATTTTCAATTTCAGATTCTGGGAATTTTTTAACATGTCAATTTGGAAAATTTGGGAAGACGCTCTCTAAGCCATCTAACAACCATGTAAATTGTTTAACATGAAATCAATTGTATTTAATTAATATATCTGATATAATATTAATTATATCATTACAATTAAAAAATCAATCTTGAAATTTTAACTCCTATGCTGTTAAACCAATTGTTTTACTGTATAATATTATTTCCAATTATAACAAGTACTGTAATCCAACATCCAGCTCAATGACCCTATTTTACACAGGTATTTTTTTGTCATTTCCTTTAATCCTTTGAACCAATGCTGAGATGGGCCTTAGCTTTACTTTTAGACAGTAAATGTAATTTCCTTTCTGTACAAGTTTTCTTGAGCTCTCTGTTTGTTAACCATGAGAGGAGTGGAAAGTTGGTTGGTATTTGTCAACAGTATATTGAAATCAATATTTTTCCACCTTTCAAAAAGATAACTTTGATTTATTATCATCTATGGATTAATTTCCATGCTGCAAATTTCTTTATAAACAACTCAATATGGCAAACCCCAGGTGAAGAAGATGGAAGCTGTTTAAATTAGGACGTTTCATGGTTATACTGTAAATTTGTTTTCACATTGCTCACAACAAACAAACGAATGAATAAAGAAACCCTTACTTTTTGATGATAATCAGCCAACACCTTTTGGTATTCTTTCATCTCGTGTTTCTTCATTTTAAATAGCTTAAGGTACAGTAACGCTTGACACCGCAAGCTGAAAAAATAAATATAACAATAATAACAACAACAATAATAATAATAATAATAATAACAACAACAATAAACATTCTTTCCTATTTTTTCATAAAAAAAAAATTAAATTAACAATCTATTATAGTGAAATAAAAATAGGCATATATTATATATTTATATTAACTACAGAGATATGTGTTTAAAAAGAAAATCCTAAGTATACAACTGGGGTACCCCAATTCTTTGTACTAATACATTGAATACCAAGCCTTAGCTTCAGTAAATAATATGTAAACTGGCTTCCATAAACACTATTACCAATACGTAACACCATATGAAAAGTATACCTTGAGCAATAATATGAAAAAAATAATTAATTTCTTAACATTGCTCAACTCCCATACATTAGGAATTTTACCTTCCACAATCCATATAAAAGGAATTTCAGCTTTGAATTTAAGATAACAGAATTTGTAGTTTTCTGCAATGATTGTTTTAACTATATCACTTATTTTAACTTAATCACTGTATTGTTGTCGATACAGTTTAGGTTTAGACAAAGGATGTGGAAACTGTCAAAAAATTCCATGTCACGAAGCAATGAGGAGATTTATTTGACAATTTCCAAAGCATGAGTGGAATTTAATCAAAATCATTCAAAATAGAAATTCGAATTTAAAAAAACAGATAATTATTTCAACAAGTTCAATTAGTACATGCATTCATCTCTGCTCACAATATATATGGAAGAGAGCAACAATTTAACTATCGAAAAGCAGCATCTCATGGTATGCATGTTCTATGAGAATGTGGTGATAATTTTTTGAGGAAGTGAAAATCAGTAATTGATTATTTTGCATATGTCAGTTGCCTTTGATTACTTGATATAGGTCCAATTCTTGTATGCTATTAATGGAAATTTCCTGAGAGGAATAGTCAGCAAAATGTACATTTTAGTAATGAAGTAGTAATATATACTGTGATTTATGCAACTTTGCACCTTGCAGGTATGATCTGTTGATGGTTTCTTTCAATCGGGAGTTTGAATGTTAACATAGTGACATCACTATGGCGACGTTCAAGCTCTCGATTGGAAGAAAGTGTCAACAGGGGCAGAGTTCAAAAATCGTCGAATAATAACCAATTTGAGCAGACACAATTGTTACTCTTCTTGAGATACTATAAATATTATGTATTATTATAATTATAATAAATATTTTGTCCTCTGAATTACAAATTTCCCCAATGCAATGCCCCTTTTCTAAATATGTTTAGTTCAATTTGAACCTATTTTAATGATTTATTCCATATAATGTAATCTATTTTTCTCTATTTATTTGAATGCAATGTGATTTAGGTTCATGATTTCAACAAGTACCTTTCCCATTTCTTTGCCTCATTGCCATATTTCCTTGGAGCAAATACATGTTAGAATTTATTTCATCTCTGCATCATCTGACTAATAATATACTGTCAATGTTATCATTTTTATGAAGTTCTGAATGACACAGAGAAAATTATCATTTTTTTAGAGGCACCTGAGGGCAACAATCAGAAAGGGTCTATGTACCTGCAGACTGTCTAATTCACAAGGTGTTCTAGAAAACTTCTCTGAAATTCAGTTAGCTAGATTACTGCTCATTTCTATGAAATGTGTTAGGCTATATTCATTTTCTTACCTTACAACAGCATACATTAATTTAATTATGAACGGATATTCACCTGAAGTAAACTATTTGATCTAACTTTCTTTTTAATTTGATAATATTAAACTAAAATATTTTGTCTATAAGTATATTACAATCTGCCAAAGACTGAGCTTAATCTGAATTCTTTGGTTTAATACATACCTCAGGGGCACTATTATTCAATTATGGTTTTGAATACATGATCATGTCTATGGCAATAACATTAATTTACAGCCTGCCTCTGTGGCCAAACACCAATGGAGTCTTGTTCTGTTTAAAATAAGTTAAATTTTCACTGATTTTACTGGAAGTTTACATTAATAATACTACTTAATGAAGACTGTAAATTTGACTAACATAAAAGTCTTCGAACCTACTCGACTTCCTCAGAGAACATTAATATGGTATCAGAAACACAAAATAACATTGCTAGATACACTAAAAACAACATGTATTATATTCTGTTTGTGTGTTTCAGAATAAGAAAAATATTAATTTACATTCTTGTGCTTAGTTGCGAAAAATACTTTTAGAGTATAGTAAGGACTGTCAAATACTCACCTCAAAACAGCCAATTTGTTGTCAATATTAGCTTGAGGAGTGTTATTCTGTTGGCAACGGAACTTTGAGGAAATATACCTGTGAACACAAGAAATTAAGAGTATACAGTATTAACTATTAAATGAGTTCCATTTGGAATAACTTTCATCACAAATTTTACATTGAATAAAAATACAATTATGTTAATTTTTTCCATAAACTTCAGAGAAAAGTTAATGAAAATTTTAATTCATTTTTATGATCTTAATCTCTCTAGTATTTCAGTAATGAGCTTAGCATGACCCTAATTCAGTGATTAATAGCGACTTGCTTAACATACTAAATTTATTATGGATTTTCTGTTTCAGAAAAAAACGTGTTTATGATCTTATATCTCAATATCCTTAAAATTTATTTTTTGAAAGTAGATTTCAGAAAGCAAGAGTCAAATATTATTCTTATTTTCCTAATTAATTTTAGACTACCAGCAAATTTACCTAACCTTATCACAACGTAACTTTTACACAAGAGAAGAGAATATGCTCATCTGGAAAATGTACAATTAAGTATATGCAATTACACAGTCACTTCAAACAGAGAATGGCTTCTAAATTTATAGTCAACTTCAATAGAGTATGTACTAACTTTATTAAAGACAAAGTGTCCTTGTACATCGTGAAGGCAGCCTTCTCTGTTAGTGTGTCCTGCTCCATGGCATTCCCGGTCAGCAGGAAGAAGAGTACAGCCTCCAGGTACTGCATTCCCTGTGCTGTGTGGTCAGTTTCTCGGTCTGCACCGTGTTTCAGCCTCTTGGCCTCCGTCAGGTACTGGTTCTGATCCCTGCTGGCAATCATTGCAGTTCAGGCAAAGAGTCAAGCAAATATACAGAACACTGAAATTGTTATATTACAATACAACTAAAATACTTACAGGCTAATGTACTTTTGTTTGCCAATGACTAAGTGGGACAATACATTTTAAGTAGTATTTAAGACTTGTTGCATTTCTAAAATAATTAGGTGATGAAAGAAAGAAAAAAAGAGTGGGGGGGGGGAAGCAAGAGTTGAATTTTTTCTTCAGGAATTGACAATGTTTCCTTAATACTTATTTTACACCGATTTTCTCTTTATGGTAGAATCGAATCACTAAAAATTTTGATAAGTATCAATGATATGCTCATTACAATTTTTGAATTATAAACTAGAATATTCAGCAAAGACAGAGTACTTAAAAAGACACTATAGGTTGATATAGCTACTTCCACTGACAGATCTGTAATGCCCTAGAAGTTCCAAACACATGCTTCAAGTGGCACAAACATTAACCAAAACCAGGGACATATGTTGGAATGTGTATAATATTGTATGACCAACAAATTCAAACTGATTGCACAATAGTGGCAAAAAAAATGGATAACGTTATCTCACATTTGGAGAAAAAAAATGTTTTCTTCTAGATGCTGCTGTGCTGTGTGATAAAACATGGTAACCAAGGAATCTGAGAAATGTACAATACAAGTTTTCAAAAATAGAGATCAGCCAAATAGAGGGTATTGTCCTGATAGTTATTGGAGCTCTGGAATTTGTCCTGAAACATTTGTGTAAGAACTTGGCTAAATTTTCAGATCATTCAAAAGAATAGGACATGTAACACATAGCTTTATTGGGAACAATCCACAATTTATGCAATGTATTGCAGAGACACCGACAGACCCTAAATATACTCCTTAGGCTGCTTAAGCTGGCTGCAACCCGGTTTTATATTTAACTGACACAAAATCTTTAGTAGTGAAGTAGGAGGAGGAGGAGGAGGAGGAGGAGGGGGGAGGAAGAGAAAATAATAATAATAATAATAATAATAATAATAATAATAATAATAATAATAATAGTAGTAGTAGTAATAATAATAATAATTTGAAGTCTTTGAAAGCTCACTTAGCAAACTTGAATAAGGATTCAGAGACAAAGACTAAATTCATAACAGTCAGCCAAAGATAGTTGATATTCTCACTAATGTTACGCAGAACAAGTCTAAAATAAGAAAGTCAAAAAACAAGTAAATGTTTCGGCCTTGAATGTATATTATCAGGAATGTATAGGTCAGGGGGCTGTGTACTAAAATTAGAGAAATAGAGAAATGCAGTTATGTTTTGGATGAATATGATTTAGCTGTTTATACTGAAACGTGGCTTTACCCTGATATTTTGAATGCTGCGTTTAAGTTGAATAATTTTGTGATATGTAGGATTGAGAGGAATATCAATAATATTTGTTTGTTCTGTTATATGTTATGTGTATTAATTGCAATAAACAAAAAATTTCAAAGCTTTGAACTATACTTTCCTGATATTGAAAATTTGTTTGTGCGAGTTTTAAACCTTCTTATAAATTTAATTACTAGTTCTGTCTATATGCCATCCCAAGTGGCTGAAGTTACTTTTTCATCATATTGCAAGACTCTTGAAATCCTTGAGGTAGCAAATCCAAATGTAAATTGGCAATTATCAGGTGACTGTAATTTACCGAACATTTCCTGGCACAACAATGAATTTGCGTGCTATCTACCTTCCATCCAACAAGGATGCTACGTTAAAAAGGAGGAACTGTGCAAAGACAGCAGAAACTTAGAGGTGCATTAATTTGTTTTAAATCAACCATATTATTAATGTTAAAAATGTTTTACTGGATTTAGTTTTTTCAAACTCAGATATGCATTTAGTCACTCCGGCGTGTGATTCTGTTGTTGCCTACCAAACTCCATCTGTCTCGACTATGTTATTCCAACATATGGAATTCTGAAAGATTATTATGAATGGTTTCATGCTTTTGCATCTGCGGACTATGCTGGCATATCTCATTCTCTTTGCGATCTGTACTTACATTTTAAGTCGATTGTTGAAACTATGAATTAACTTCATTTTCATATCTTTCCTCCATGGTTCATCAGAGAACTCAAAACTTCAATTCTTCAGAAGAAATAAGCACACTTATATTACAAGCGTTATAATTCCCCACTATATTTTTTTCTGTTTACAAATTTGAGAAGTATATGCAAAATATTGGCCAAGAGGAACCTTAACAATTACAACAAGTATTTAATAAACATAATCACTCTTGGTCCTCCAAGTTTTGGAAATTTATACATTCAAAAAAGTACACCAATAATCTACCTAAAGTAATGCACCTTAGTGCTTATTCATTTTATGATATAACTTTGATTGTTATTGCCTTTGCAGAATATTCATCATTTTATAGAGCTCCTGATAGATAGCTTAATGTTACTTTAGATGATCAAACTCTGTTTGTTATATCTTTAGTTGATATATTTGTTTCTGACATTTTTGATAAAATAAGCAAGTTAGACAAATATGAGAGTATCATCATTATTTCTCAAATTTTGAAAATTGTTTTTGACAAGCCTAATGCCTTAGAAAATGAACACCAGGTAGACAGCATATATACAGCTCTCAGTAAGGTCTTTGGTTCAGTCAATCACAAATTACTAGTTTAAAAATTGAAAGCTTTTGGTTTTTCTGATCCACTTCTACTCTGGTTTACAGATTACTTAACCTTACTTAACCAAACAAACACAATTAGTTACAAATGGGAACGTCACTTCAGAAGGGTTCACGGTTCTGTCTGGAGTCCCCCAGGGCTCTCATCTGGGACCGCTACACTTCATTATATATGTAAACGACACTTATCTCGCAGTTACAGATGTAGACAATGCTCATATTTGCACATGATTGTAAACGCTTTAAGCCGATCACGTGCAAAAATAACCAATATTTCTTACAATCAGCACTAAATGCATTAGGTAAATGGTGTAAAGAGAACAGTCTTGTATTAAATGTTGCCAAATGCAAATGGACACGAGAGAATACTTTGGCTCTAAAAACGTTTGAAATATTTCAACGTGGTGAACATTTTAAAAACAGTATATATGAAGCTTGTTAATTTATTTTAATGTTTGCATCTGTGGTCTGGTCTTTGTGTTTTCACATTCATTCTGGTAAAATTGAATCTGTACAGCACAAGTTCTTCAGAATTGCTGCAACAACTTTAGGAATTCATGACCCTTTCATTGATCATGATTATTGTGTCATATCTTCCACCCTCAACATGACCTTTATTTCTTCTCATCATAACTTTCAATATCTTGTTTGTGTTTACCTTAGTAAATGGTGAAATTGATTGCCCACTGTTACTTGCAGAATTGAATTTTTAGTCTCTGCCATTCGCTCTAGAAATAAAAAAATACTTTTTCCATGGTGACCTATACAAATACCTGCAAATAACCTCATCACTAAAATGACTAGGATTGTAAATGAATCATGTTGTGACATTTGGAGTCCGGCAGAACGTTTTTTTACTGCATTGTGTATTTGTATTTTACGTTAAGAGTGATTATAATATTTGTATTGTTATCATGACATTCAGGAGTAATATTTTTCTTAATGTGTTTGTATTTGTACATGCCTGAAAGTCTTAAAGATAATAAATAATAATAATAATAATAATAATAATAATAATAATAATAATAACAACAACAACAACAATAACAACAAGCAACCCATACTTTGTTTTAAAGCATCTTAAGATGGAGGAAATGAAAACTCCGAAATGTCATGAACAGTGTAAACACAATGTAAAAAAGATTTTAGATCTTTCAATTTACTGTTTTATTTCATCAAATTAAGGTGATTGTCTAACAAATATGCACCTATAACTTAAAATTAATTCAAAGTAAAAGTGTTGGTTCAATTGGTTGTGCTTAGTTTTTTTGTATTGGGTAAGAGGCACTCACTTGTCTTCGTCGAAAGCGGCGTCATCCTCGGGGCGCTCGAAGTAGGAGAAGTAAACTTTGTGCGAGGAAGCGGATGCGGATGCGGAGGCGGAGGCGGCGGCGGGCCAGGGCGTGGATGCCGACGACGGCCCGGGGGGCGCGGGCGCGGCATGGGCGAACGATTATCTGACTGGGGCCGGGGCGGGTCGCGGGGCGGAGGGGGGCGGGGCGGGCCCGGGGGTGGCGTTGGCGGCGCCAGGCTGCGCCGGTGGCAGCGCGTTCCGCTCGTGGTTGGTGGGGCGGGCGTCGGCGAAGGGCGAGCGCGGCGGGTGTTGCACGCGCCGTTTCTTCGTGCGCGGGGAGGTGTCTTCGTCCCCGGCGCGGGCGCGGGCCGCGGGCGCGGGCGCGGCGGCGGGCGCCGCGGGCGGGTGGGCGGGCGCGGGCGCGGGCGCGGGCGCCGCCGCGGGCGCGGGCGTGCGCCGACTCGACGAGCCGCCGCGGGCGCTGCTTCGCGAGCACTCTGTGGACGTGGAGCTGGCGCTGCGCCGCCGCTCGCGCTTGTGCCCGCCGTGCGACGACCGCTTGTGGTGATTGTGGTGATGATGATGCCGCTCAGACTTTTCCCTGCGGGCAAACATCACGTGGGTGCCGTCGCCCGGCAGGTCAACGATTGCGCTCAGCGCAAGAGAATTGCTCTCCTCACAATGGCAATTCAAGTCACTACATACTTGGCACCAACCTCCAGTGACGAAAAAAGTAATTATCGTTTATACTAACTTTTAATTTCTTTCATTCAAAAGAATAGTAGAGAGATTAACAAATATAGGAAGGTATTCATCAACTAGCCGGTCAACTTTAACTTTTCTGAGAAAAAATCTACTAACTACAAAACGATAATTTATAACGACGGGGAAACATTTCTTACTTCTTAGCTGTTATCTGTATTGACTGATAACGACTTTTTTATTTGGCAACAACTTTATTTCAAATGTTTTTGTATCATTTACCAATCAAGTTTGTAAGAAATAACACCCTCTTCACGTTCATTAAAATAAAATTCATGTACTCGTAAGTAATGCCCTTATAATTTATATGGCAAAATCAACGTCGTGCGTCAGCACAGTTTCATGAGTAGTAAACACACATGAAACACTTCATGGAAATCTATCATAAAACCCAACCGCAATAAAATGCAAGGATTAGAAATGAGCATCGTTAACACGCTGCCGGTTGTACAGACCATGGGGAAATTAGCAACGGTCAGAAACGTCAACCAAAATTAAGACCAGAAAAAAATGGTACAAAACACAACAAATAAATATGATGAAACGGGGAGAACTGCAGCATTTTGAAAAGTGTTAACCGGTTGAAAACCAGCGAGAAGGTTTTAGCTCCCTAATCACCAACAAGTTTCCAATGACACGTATTTTTCCCTTATAAGAATACCATTGGGTATTTCTTGAATGATCCTTAGCCAGTAATCCATTTTCAACTGCCTGATTACTACTAGGCGGGCGTGCGATGGCCGCAGAGCCCCCCTGCCCTGGGGGGCTTCCGCAGGAAGGCGCCGGAGGCCAGCGATAACGCCTTGCCAAGGAGCCTCTGCACTGCGGAGCTCAGCCCGCACCGCCGTCGCCGTCGCCGCCTGCTTGCGAGGCAAAATCGGCAACGACAACGCGCACGAATGAATGTCGTGTTGCGCCCTGTTCCCTTAACCCTGTTTTTGAAAGGTGCTCAAAAAGACGCAGAATATTATTGCTAACCAATATTATTACACACTTGTGTAGACATAATACTGCGAAGGCAACAAATTTTTGCTTGAGGAAACAAACGTTTTCCACTAGAGTGACTTCAAAGATCGAGTAACAGTGTCTGTAAGAGCAAGACTTTTGCTCATATATGGAGCTATCAACGTTGATGAATGACGATCTTCCAGAACAAAGAACACCATCAGTCCTTTCTCCCACATCTCTTCCTGCACAGCATCGGGATGAGATGCAATTCAAGATACAATTGAGGAAACAAGGATTCTAACAACCCACCGAGCGCACGTCATGTCGATATTTTTCGTGCAAAAATAAAACAAATAATTAAAAAAAAAAGACTCAAACAATTGGAAACCAAATTAAGCATTTCCAAATTAAGCACTTTTTTATGAAAGAAAAGAAAAATCAACAAATAACAACAACACTGAACATAACATCGAATACGTGTCGACGACTCCATTCAACGGAAGCCAGTCTAAATCCATCTCTCGCATGTACAAGCGCGGGGTTGGGCAGAGCAGAGTGGTTGGCGCAGGAAACAGGTGGTGTGCCGCCCCGCCACCTGCCGGACGGGCGCCGTCCCCGACGCGCCCCGCTCTCGCGTTGCGGCAGTCACTTCCGCTCGCTCGGAGGCAGACCCAGAGTGAAAGCTTCAGAGAGAGCCTTCCGCCTCATCCGGTAATTTAAAAAAACAAAAAACCTTAATATTTTTCCTCAAATTGATATTGGAAACATTGTACTCGAAATCAATGGCGCAGCCAGGACGGAATAGGGTTTCAGCCCCCCGCTAATGTTACGATTCAAAAACTAGTGTTTACTACATTTTTTATCTAACGAAAGTCATTCAATAATAACGTTATAAATATTAACAGATCAATAAATAAAATATAATTTACATTCAACTTAATTCAAAAATTCTTTATAAAAATAACTATTAAGCCGACACTATATTTCAACCACCTTTCCCCGAAAAATCATCGGTGAAAATTTGCTCGTAATATATTATTTTCTTAGTAAATTCAATCTATAAGTGAACAAAACAAAAACAAAAGGTTCAAAGATGCAAATTTCTTTGGAACACTGCGATAAATAACGCTGTAAATAACTAATTTGAGCGAAGAGTATTAATACACAAGATCGAATCTGACCTTGTCATTTCCACTCCGCCCCGAGCGAGGATGTATCGGCATCCATCTAAGACGTCATCAAAATCGATTGGGTCTGTCAAGAATAATATTCTTCTGGCGTCTGTCGAACTGTACAAACTACATAATGGAAATGTGGTAAACTCCGTTTGATCTTTAAAACAAGCAGTTTCGTTTTTCTTTTCTTTTTTTTTTTTTTTTTTTTGTATTAAAAACGAGCCAACTAACGGTGAAATTTTAAGACGAAGGACCTCCGGGGTTGTCCTAGGACCAAGCGTGAGTCTGGGGCGAAAGACCCAGTGACCGCTGGCCGTCTTTGCAGCTGCAGCGCCAGATGTAGCCAGCACCTGCTTTGCCACAGCGCACGAACAACGCAAACAGGGAGAAGGAAGTGGTCCTGACGAGGAAGGGGCGCCTTGCGAACAGCAGAAGTAGCGTAGAGAAAACACGTATTTTTCCTCTAAGGTAGCCGCATTCCACAAAACGGAGGCGTTGAATCATTTTATCCGGAACTAAAGCATCGACCCCCCCCCCCCAATACACATACTACAGAGCAAGCTGCCGTTTCATTCATTTTCAATGCCACGTAATTGCTAAACAGTCTCTTTTATTGTTACAGAAACCAATTACGATTTTCCTTTTATTTTTGTCAAGTAAAGAAAGGTGAAATACAAAACTTGTTTGATTTTTAGTTATCTGTGAGCGTTATAAAATAGCTTGATGTCACAAGGGAGCAGAATAATAAGAATTGTACCAAATAGGAAAGATCTATAATTTGCACGTATCTACAAGGAAAATTAAGTCCGTCGCTCCCTATCCTCCAATATGTACGCTGATTTTTAGCAGATAATTGAACAAGTTAATACCCTGCGATTTCTTGAATTCGATTTATGATCAATCATATCTGGGCGAAGTTGGCTGATGGAAACATCGAAGGATTTACATTGTTATGAGTCTCCATTTAAGATTTAACACCGAAATGAATCTATAATAAAATTCTACGAGTTATGGCAAAGCACTATGGCCTGCTTGAAAGTGAAAAATGGTTTCTGAAGTACCATGCACTTATAGCAGCAGAGTACAAGCAACTGAAGTGGGATTTTGTGGGTCAATTTCAGGAGTAAAAAGAAGAGAGAGAAAAAAGAAATAAAGAGGGAGGAAAAGAAAGAGGCAGAAAGAAAGGTAGAGAAAGAGAGGCACAAAAAGAGAGAAAGTAAGAGAGAAAATAGTGTTCACAAAAAACACTGTAATTTTTAATCTCAAATCGAAGAAAATAGAAATTACCATAAATCTTGATATCACTTTGGTCAAATGTAGTAGACAAAGCTTAGTGGATCTCCTGAAAATAACAACTACTTTAACAGAAACTTTAAGAATTGTAATTGTATCAATGGCTCAATTAAATATTACCGTAGTTGTAGTTGCATTAAAGCTAACATAAATAGACAATGGCCATGCTTTCGTTAGCTCATCTATTGTGCACAAAGAAAACTTAGCAATATGAATATCTACTTGTAGAAATGAAAAGAATTAGTGAAAGATAATCATAAGCCACACCAACACAGTTCTGATAAATAGGTCACTTAATACTACGAGAGCTAATGTTAATAAACAGGAAAAGAAAACAATTGAGGTGTGTCATCCCGCCTACGGACTGAACAATGGAAGCCTATTATTCTGAACGGGTAGAAGGCTGCTCAGATTGCGTGTTGGGCATTCTACGGAAAACTGCGGCTTATGACCATTTCTCACTGGCCCCTTGGATTTTGCGGTCGCAAGGGAAGAATGGCGCAGGCACTCACCCTCCATCCTCCTGGCCTCTCGAGCGCCGCTTCTTCTGCTTCTTGGAGGAGCGCTCGCGGGGCGGCGACGCGGCCGCCGGCGCACTTTTCGCCCCCGAGCCGGTCCCTGCCCCCACTCCCCCACTCGTCCTCTCACTGCTACTATCACATTTCGATATCACAATCTCGCCCTCCTCCGGAGACTCGGAGGCGGCCGACAACGTCCGTTTGGTGAGCGCGCGCGGCGAGGGCCTCGTGTCAGCCAGGTCGGTGCGCATGCGCACGTCCGCCCCGGAGGCGGCGGTGGCGGAAGCCAGGCGCGCGGGCAGGCGGCCCAGGCGGGCCAGCGGCACCGAACACACCAGGCGCGTCTGCAGCTGGGGCTGCCGCGACGGCGGGGGTGTTTAGGCGGGGCGGGAGTGCGCGCCGGGAGGAGGCGGGCTGGGCTCTTGTGCGGCCTCGCGCCTGCTTTTTCCCGCGGTCGGGTGGGGTGGCCGGGACTCGCGCCGGGTGGCACTCTTTTCGGCGAGACGGGCTGCGCTCCCCCATCGAACACGGCAGAGGGCGCGGGGGGGGCGCGGGGGGGGCGGCGGCGGTTGGAAACGACGTGTGGAGGCGGCGGGGAGGGGGAGGGCGAGGGGAAGGAGGGGTGGAAGCTCCGGACCACCAACGGTAGGTCTTGGAGCCCTTTGCTTGGCGACGCCATCACTCGCGTCCCGCTTTTGGCCTGACTTCCCGCTTTGTCCTTCCGCCTTGCCTTCTCCCCTGCCCCTTCCGCTTTTCGCCCTTGCCGCCTGTCGCGTGCCCGAGAAGAGTTCAGAGGGTCTGCTTCTTCTTTGAGTCTTGGATGGCTGCCCTCGTGTTCCAGCTTGGGGGGCTCTCCTCGCCTTGGCGAGGGCTGCAAGGCGCGCGCGGGCGAGCGTCGGGGTGTTCGGTGCTGTCGGAGGGCGCCTGGGCGCGGGCGCGGGGCACGCTAGAGTCGGAGTGAGAGTGCGCTTCAGGGGGCAAGCGATTGGGCGGGGACGTCGCGCTCGCTGTCGCTGGAGTTGCCGTGGGGCATGCGGGCGCTGACTTGAGCTCTTGTCGGGAGGGCAGTGCTTGGCCGTGGTTCCTCGCCGGGCCAGGGGGGCTTGGCTCTCTTGTGTGGATGGCACGCGTTGCGAGTGTCTTCTTCTCGCTTGCGCGTGCGGCGGCTGGAGGCGGGGACAGGCGGCGTGGTGGGGGCCCTGGAGCCACTGGGTGTCAGGATCTTCGGCCGGCGTCGCTCATTCGTCGCGTGGCATTGGCGGCGCACGGTCCACTCGTCCCGAGTTCGCTGGGAGGGGCGGGGGGGGCCGGGGGGCGCGTGGGCGCGCGAGGACTGGCGCCTTTGGTGCGGGCGGGGGTGGGCGGCGGGGGGAGGCAGAAGACGCGGAGTGTCATCGTCCACTGTCTGCTGGATGAGAGACCGCGGCGAGGGGTTCGCCGCGGGGCGGCGTCTCGTGGACGATGAGCGCGCGGCGAGCGTTGGCGCGGGGCGGTGCGGTGGAGCGTCCGAAGAAACGCGCGCGACCCTGCGTGCCGCGGGGTTGTAGTCGGCGTCGTTCGTCGTCCCTCTGGAGTCGGAGACGGGGGCCGCGACCAGGGCCGCTGACGGCGCTTAATTGGCGACGCTGCGGGGGTGAGGCGCGGAGGGGGCCGGGGCGGACGCTCGGGCTCCGGGTCAGACCAGTCGGAGAGCAGCGCCAGCTTCTGGCGTGAGGTGGGGGAACGCGTCGTGGCCGGGCGTATGTCGTGCGGGAACCTGCCTGCAGGAGCGGCAGCGGGCGGCGCGCGGCGGCGGTGCCCGGCGTCGTCGTAGCACGACCGATGGCGTTGACTGTTGCTGTTGCGATGCGCGGAGGCCTGGGTGGAAACGGTCACGCTGTCACTCTGCCATTGACTCAATTCCTCGGAACACATTCCAACGTCGGTGTTTTTATAAAAAATATAGTGCGGCATGTGGCTGGTCTAAATTAAAGTTTGTCTATCCAGAATAATGCAAGTCTTACGAAGTTTACGTCTCTATATCATATATTTACGAATAATAATGCAATTTTCAAAGGTGGTCAAATTAAGAAGGAGTGAAAGCGGAAATTCAAATGATTTAAATGCTTGGCACGGAACACAAATAAAATTGTTTGTGTTATCGTGAAAACTGTCTCATATATTATACATATGAAATAAGATTCACAATTAAACCTGCTAGCGAGCGATCTGAAGATTGGTAGATGCATAACATGTAAGTGTTACACCTCTGAAGTGCTACCTCGATCCCATGTCGTCGCATGCTACATGAGCCCAACTTTCCAGATACGGGCCGATGCGAGCATTTTGAGGAAATTAAGATCTGTAGGCGATTGAATTCGGAGTTAACATGTAGTGCGTACCTACTAACCCATTTTTCGCGAGAACAAAACGGAAAAGGGAATATGAAAGGGGCCGAACAAAAAAAAAAAAAACCAAATGAAGTGAGTCGACGAGGAAGACAGCGCGAAGAGTGAAGTTATGCGACGCGTCATCGTTGCACTCCGGCTTGGCAGAAGCCTCGAGGTTAGCGCTTGGGCGGTCTTTCCTATGGCGAGCGGCGGGGGCCGGGGGGTGAGGGCAGCCGCCGAGGCAAGCAGCGGCGACGTGGCGGGTGGCGGGGGGCGCGACGCGGCTGCGGCCAGGGGGCGACGCGCGCGGGGACGGCAGGCGCTGCGCCCCGCCGACCGCAGCACGGGCGCCGGGCCCGGTCGCTGTGTGCGGCGGCGGGAGCTGGGCCGACGACTCCGAGTGGACTCGCTGTCGGAGCCGAGGGCGGTCCGAGCGCTGGAGAGGTGTTAGGGCGTGGCGGGGCGGGCGGGCTGGGGCCGGCCGGTGTTGCGCGGGGGGCGGCGGGGGAGGCGGAGACACGATGGGCGGCGGCGGGGACACCAGCGGAGCCAGGAGGTCGGGCGCAGGCGCCATCTCCACGTTCATCATGTCACAGTCGCTGCCCGCGTCGGCGCTCCCCCCCGCGGCCGCGGCGGAAGCGGCGCCCAGGACGCCACGCCTGCACGACACATTGCGTCACTCGCAATTTACGCCATTGAATTCTTTTTAATACTCCAAATGAATTTTCTCGTTACTGTCGATAGAAGTGAATATTTAACAAACTTTATAACGACATTTCTCATCAATGATGAAATCAATATGTTACAAAACTCCACATATTTATTTTGAAACATTACTGCACAATTGAAATTGAAATTAATATATCATTGCTTATGCGTAAAAATTAAAAAAAAAATGTTTTTCCAACTTGAATGCGTATCATAAGGTGACGTCCGCGCAAAGGGCTAATAACCTTGCTTCTTTTAGTTAGGGTAATTGAAAATGGGACATTGTGAACAAGTATCTGCGTATCCTCGAGCGTGACACAGCAAGAATTCACTTCTTTTGTGGCTGACTCAGAGCAAGTGGCGACCAAAAAGATATGAGAAGTATCGCACTAAGTAAGACAAGTAGTACACAGTAAGAGGTCCATCGAAAATAATGTCATAAATGCAAGCAGTTTTAAGTACGTGTGTTTCAGTACCATTTAATCATGACACAAAAACTCAAAACATTTAAAAACATTTGATTCTAGTTAAATAACGATCGAATTGCAGACTTTTCTAAGACGATTTTAACCCTTTGGTTTAGTAGTGTTTTCTCCCTTTTGATGTACCGTAAACAAAATATTCATGGTCTGCCACTTTATGGTCTAATACGATAGGACATATACAAGAAACATCAACAGTCAAGCGTCACCACAATAAAGCACAAGTGATATTTCCCAATATGTTCACCACCGCACAGACCGTATACATAATTTGTGCTGTGTACATCAGATGTGACATCAACAATGTACACTACATGAGCATTCGTCCGATAATAACCAGATTGTGAAATCTTACGACACTAGCTACGCGATGTTCTGCTGTAAACGCTTTATCAAACAATAAATAAACTCATCTCACGTTACACGTTTTATGGATGCAAAACAATTTCACGTGATTTATTGAAGCATCTAGAAACTTATCAATGAAAATGTTACTGCTATAACAAATTCGTGAGCATCTCAAATATGCCATTTTCAACTGATTTGCATGACAACTTCGCAATATATTGAGAGGCGCGTTGTCTTTCGGATACGCAGACAGTGGCTCTTGTTAAACGATTACTCGAGATCACATCGGAATATGTAATAACGAGAACTGCGGATTAATGGCTTCCGGCCAAAGGTCACAGATGTATAATGACGTATCTGCGTCACATGTACTTCAGTTTGCTTATAATACGAATGAAATTACAATACGAAAAGTAACAGACACTTTGGATAGCACAGTTTCTCAAAACAACCACGAACCACAGTTTTTTTTATGCAGTCGTGTCTCAAATTGATAATTTTAGATGTCTCGGAACAACAGTAATAAAAAAAAACAATGGTGTTTTGAAATCGTTTTAATACCTGCCAAAACAATACTAGATAACATGGACTTTAGGATATTTAACGCTTTGTAAAATATAGCAAGTAATATTTGCACTAAACGCCGGATCGCATTGTATTAACAGTGTACGAAAGGATTTGGAAACCTGTCGTAGCCGTATCGGCAGGCACAATCTACGTGGCCGTGGCGGCGGTGGGGAATCCCGCTGGGAAACCATTCGGCCCGAAAGAGAGAGCTCAGGCGCTGCGCACTCACCCGAGCGGGTGTTCCTGAGCGGCGGAGGCGGAGGCGGCGGCAGAGGCGGCGGCGGCGGCAGCAGAGGGGCCGGGGCCGAGGCGGCCCCCCTCACTCGAGCTGCTGCTGGAGCTGCTGCTCTCGCTGCTGGTGCTGCGGGCGGGCGGGCGCGGGGGCGGCGCGGGCACCTGCGGGGCAGCGCCAGCCGTCAGACCAAAGCAAGGGCCAGCGAGGAGGAGGAGGAGGAGCGATCTCAATCAATACGCGCCGGCGAGCGGGACGGATCGCCGGCCCGCGCCTACCTCGCCGCCGACAGGCGACGTAACGCGATCCCACTTCCTTCAGTGGCGGCCAGGTGAGTTGGTGCCCCCCTTCCTCTCACGCGGTGCGCGGTCTGGCCCACAAATGCAAATGACAACACAAAGAAGCGGAGTTTTCCGTCAAGAGAGGGGGAACCCACTGAAAACTAAGCGCAAAGAACGCGTCGACAACATTACCGACTTCAGTTATTACGTATGGAAACCGTTCTCAGGCTGAAATAATTTCACAGAGGGTGAGGAGCACTGGACTGCGATACCAAAGAACTCCACGGACCTCGTGCAAGCTCTCAAACCTGCTATTAGAGAAAGACATTTTAACATATCTGAAATGGCCGTCAACACATTGAGTCATTCTATTTTAAATCTGATTCTTCACGTATCAGAAATTTAAAAAAAAAATGTTTACTTAATATATGACGAGTAAATACGTACGATTTAATTAGAGATAAGTACGAGACGTTTTTCCAGGGAATAAGCCCATTGAACTACAGCAAATAATACTGTAACAACTTTTAAGTAGAAAGGTATTTACTCCGCTGTGATCCAAATGCCCTTCCCACAACACCCACGCCCCCTCCACGGAGCCGCGCCAATCAACGAGAGGTTCTGGTGGGATGCCAGGGGGCGGGGGATGGGGAGGGGGAGAGGGAGGGAAGCGTGGGGAGCCCGCTGCTGTGGCGCCCACCGCTACTCACCCGCTCGCCGTCATCGCTGTCGGTGGACAGCTGCAAGTCGGCGTCCAGGTCCCTGCGAACACGAGGAGGCCGCGTCAACGAGGCGCGCGCGGCAGATGCCGTCGCTGTTGCGGAGCGGTACGGCGCGCGGAAAGAGAGGAGCGGAGCGGAGCGCGCGCCCGCGGGCGGGGGACGCGCAATGGCGGCCGCGGCGACGCGGGGCGCGGGCGCGGGCGCGGGCGCGCTCGGTTGCGTCACCGCTAGAACCGCCGCCGCCGTCGCCGCCGCCGCGGCCGCATCGATCGCGGGCGCCGGTGCGCGGGGCGTCCGGCAGCTGCCGCTCGCTTCATCCGCTGTGGGGACTGGCTACGGCTGCGAGACTTGACAGAGGTGGTGATGGTGGAGGCGGCAATACAATCATAGTGAATTGCGATTGCTCTGCCAGATGTGTACGTCAGAAACCATGGGATCATTACTTACACATGCTTTCAAATATTAATGAATCAAGCTTCGTTGTGTTTGCTTTTGAATAGTTTAATCCTTTTATAGAACTTGAAAAATATTGACAAAGAAAATACTTTAAAATTGAATTAAAGTCATTACGAAGTGTATGACCTTGAACTACTTTTTAGATTGTAGTAAAATTCAAGATAGTAAGAGGTTTCTGAACGTCCGAGAATTCGCAAAAGCCGTCACTCTCAAGACAAACAAATATTTTACATCTACAAAGAAATGTAAGGAGAATTTAATGAGCAGAGAATAGGGTCTGGCTTATTGGCTTGCGAGAAAAGGCGGCGGCGCGAGTGGCCGTTGCAGGACGGGTTCGGAGGGCCCCGTGGTGATCGTGCTGGGCCCGCGGACGCTCTGGGCTTTCAGGCGCTAACGTCTTTGGGGCGCGCCGCCGGCGTCACCGCGGGCAGGGGTGTCCGCCGTCGCGGGCTGCGGGGTCAACGGTCGCGCGCAACGAGCCACTCGCGGGCCTCCGGCGCGGGCTCGGCTCGCTTCCGTGGAGCCTCCGCCGCGGAACAAAGGCGACGGCACGGAGCGGGAGCGAAGTGAGAGCGCGCGCGGAAAGAAAGAGAAGAAAAGCGAGCGAGACGAACGGATGCGAGAGAGAGAGAGAGAGAGAGGGGGGGGGCACTAAGAACAGGAAGAGGAAAAACAGAGCGCCTCCTAGCGGGCGAGGGTACTCACGTCGCAAGCAGCAGCCCCGGCGCGAGGAGGCTGGGCGGCGCGTGTGCGAAGCCGCCGCCGCCGCCGAGTCGCGTGGACGCCGTGAGTGCGGGCGCTGCAAAGCAGAGAAAGCACGACGCGGCCGCGTTACACGCGCTGTCGCAGCCGCCGCGGGCGCGGGCGCTGCGCCACCTGTTGGCAGCTGGCGCGCGTCAGCCGCCGCGCCGAACAAAGAAGCGGGGCCGAGGTTCGCTCCGCCCGCACTGCGCCGCGCCGCGTGCCCGCGGCCGGAAGCGTCCGCCGAGGCGGCGCGGCTGGATGGCCGAGCGGGGCGGTGCGGGGAGGGGACGGGGCGTCGCCATGACGACGCCCGCGCACGTGGGGCGCCCCGCCCCGTCGCCCGTCCCGCCCCACGCGAGCGCGCGCGGGTCGATGGCGCGGCATCGACGGCACCCGCGGGGGCTGTGTTTACCCCGCGGACGCCGCCAGCGGCCTTGGCCCCCCGCCCGCTTATCTGCGCGTTCTAAGAAGACTTACCGGGTCGGAGCGGCGCGGCGGCACTGGGCAGCGGAGCCATGATGGGGTCGGCGATCTGCAATAAGAGGTGCGGACGAATGCTTAGAAGGGCTATCTCTGTTAGGCGCACGCAACGGAAACGGCCATGATACACCCACACCCCTTACGTACTAGGGCTTTAGAGTCAATTATTTCTCGTGTTACGTGGAATAAAATAAACTTCACTTCTCTCAAACTCTCTGCATTTTCTACGTCAATTTATTGTTAATTCACTGCAATGATTTCTTTGTACGTGTAATTAACTTACAATTAAGCTCAATAGCGCCAAGACGCCCGTCACCAGCAGCGCCCGTAGTGGCGTTCTATCACTTGACCGGTAAAGTTTCTGGCACTGCGCGAATTTTTTCTTGTATTTCGAAGCAAGTCGTAAGATTTTTTAAAAACACAGAGGGGACTTACAATTCCCTGCTCGATATTCTACAATGAACCTGCGCAAAGCAGAAATACACGAACGCACACGCGCACGCACTCAAACATCACGCATGCGCGTGTACGAAACCCCTACTGGACCAAATTTCGATTGCAGCGCAACTGCAACCGCACACATTCCCTCTTCCCGCAGCTGAGCCCCGAGGCCGTGGTGCCTGTGCGTGCGCCCCAACAGGAGCAGGTATCATGGCCGGAAGCCTCGTGGTGGCGCGTCGGCGCAGGGGAGCCACTCACCGCGTCGTGGAAGGTGAACTTGCAGTCGGGCTCCTTGCGGGGGGTGGCGATTGCCGTGAGGGGCGGCAGCACCTGGGTCATCTCCTTGAGGATGTTCTCCAAGTCGGCGGCCGCCGGCTCGGAGTCCCGCGTGCCACTCGCCGACGTCGCCGCCGCTGCCGCCGCCGCCGCCTGCAGCAGACGCGGCGCGGCCGCGCGGCCGCTCAGTCGTCGGCGGGTGCGCGCGCTCGCGGCCATGGGACTGGGAGCCCTCTGCCGCGCCCCGCAGCCCCGCGCCCACTGCCACGCACGCCGGCGCGCACGGCGGCGCGGAGCGGAGAGGGGGAACGCAGGCAGGGCGCTTCCCCCTCCGGCCCAGGGGTGGCCAGCGCGCGAGCGCACCCACAACACCCTCCCGAAAACAGTCGGGGCGCCCCCGCAGCTCCAACAATTCACTCTCAGTAAGCCTTTGTTCCTGCCCAAACAATAACATAGCTTCTTGTTGAATGATTGGCTCTGATGTTGGACCGCTTGTAGATATTCAGGAAATAAGTTTTCTTAATTATTATTATTTCTTATTAATTATATACGTGACCTAACAATTAATAACAACTGGATCACTAATATCTCAATCATATTTCTTTTAGTGCTAACTGGACAGTCTTGACGGTAAGTCCACCACCTAAGTCTTGCTTTTAACGAATTAATAATCACATCCAACAAAGAAATGTCATCACTATCACACTCCCAAAGCATCAGCAAGCAATCTATTGTCCTAGTCCTAAAGGTTTGATTTGTAGTGCCCTTCAAATTGATTGCATGTTTATACACTGGTTGCCAAAAGCACATTTCTTCCTAGCTGTCCAATTGCTACGTCTCTCTCGCGGAAACTTGCAACGTGCGTGTAGCAGGGAAGAGCGCAATGCTAATGTTTGGTGGCCTCCGTGTTATACGGGCAACGAGGTCGCCGACGGAGCCGCACACATGCCCACCAGACGGCGCGAATCCCCCCTCCGGCCCCGACACCGACTTCTATACCGGGCGACGCACTACCATTACAACTTTCAAATCCGTGCAATTACACTACTAGGCGGATGAATGGAGACTCGCAATTGTGAATTTCCCCTAGCGTTGCCACAATAACACATCGATTCATTATCAAGGGAATCAACTAGTAGAAAAACTTCATTCAATTCGCCGCTACTCGACATTACCCGTTTAATGTCTATAGTCTCTCTCCCTATATAAGAGTACCGTAGGTCCAAATGGCTTGTACAAGTTTAAGCGCAAGTGAAACGGCAATTCCTTTGTAGTATTTCGAGGTAGATTGTTTTCTGAATTGGTCATATGTCAAGACCGGAATTATTTCTACTCTGGTTTTTAGGTGTTTCATCAAGTGGTGGAAGAGTTGTCGAGGAGATGCTCTTCGTTAATAATGAGAACGCCATGGAAGTGCCCATTAGTTGTAAGAAATAAAATAAATGTTTGCTGAGTCATATTTAAGAAATTTAGCTACATCAAGAATACCCCGCAGAACACGTAACCTCACTCTAATGCGATATGTAATGCAGACAAATTGTTACTTTCTTGAATACTTAACCGTAATATAGAGAATTTCAAAAGAAAATTCTTTGTTGAAAGCGTATTTGATTCTTTAGTGAAACGTTACTTTCACAAAACTATAAAATGATGCTATGCACATTTGTTTGTTATAGCAAAAATGCCGCCAAAGAAATGTATGCTAATGAATGTCCGCTTCGCGCAACGTTTTAAAACACCAGAAACGATCGAAACAAGCGCGCATCGACATTCTTTTGTCTATTTCTGTACCCCTTGCTACGACGATTCTCCGAAGAAAATACGTAGGGTACCCAAGGAAACGTGTTCGGGGCCTCGTGGAACTTCCTCGCTTCTACAACTGAGAACACCTTTTCAGTTTTAAACATTTCAACATAAATATTGCAGGTGTGTTGTCAAGTGAAGAAATCAATTCATTCCGTTGACTTCAGATATCTTTTACAACGGCAATCTGTGTTTCAAGGATAGGTGACGTAACGCACTCTTTAACTTCAGTTTCTTTCAATTAACTGAACTTTTAAGCTTAGATTCCAGGTTCCTCTACTTCCACTTTTTCAATCAATGTCTTGGAAGTCATTACTCTTTGAGTCATGGGGTATATTTGCTGCAGACTCGCATTCGACATATTTGCGTTGGCATAATTTCCAATATTTTGTAAGTGTGTGTATAACAGCTCATTATAAACTCTCGACTGAGAGAAGTCCTCTCGTTCGACAGCAGAAATCAATGAAAAAAATTACTAGTAACGAAATACAACACTGGGAAAATTTTCCACTTTGGGACTAGTTTTATATATTTCCCACGTTTATATAATATATCAGTACATTCCAGTCTTTCTAGAATGTCAAACTTGTCAACTGTTGCCCATGATGCCCTGACGTGAAAAGTGACCATCCACCTTGGCCCAAAAGCCAACGCTACATTGTTCGTACCAGCGAGCTTCCATATAGACACTGAACGATCCCTTCGCCACCTTGCATCGCTTGACCTGACGCGGTAAACGAAACGCGCTCTGGACTATTAAATGCGCTCTCAATTGCAACGTACTGGTTACGTAATATCCTACAACACGCTATTATGAGTCGCGACACAATGAGCCACTAAAATCTGAGCAACGAAGCACAATGCACGACTATTTTGCTATCAGTTTCTAGCAATCAGAGTGGGACGCACATCACGATCTATTTGAGAGAACCAAACTTTCGAAACAATCCATAAACTACAAAATAATTATCTTAATTCTGAATATAATTCAACAGTTCTAAAACTTGTACCCAAACACTTCCAACTGCTTTCACTTGCTCATTATTAAACCGAGTAATCAAACTATATACAAATCATGCGTGCAGTTAACTCGTGTTCCTCGCGGTTAAACGTTCATTAGACGATTTTCATGGCAGGATCGCTCTCACCCGTTTTACCATAGCTTTCCTGCGTAAACAAAATCTACCAGAATGCTTATATTCTTAGGAATGTTCGATGCAGAAACTTGCAGATAATAAAGAACTGAAGGTCTAGTAAACAGCAGTCGATAACACCTTTGCAGCTGTCTCCAGCGCTGCCCAACAATGCCCGTCCTGGCAGAAATTTTGGTCAGGCATATTTTGCTACTTATTTTGTTGCTGGCGTCGTTACATCTCCGATCAACAATGCGCAATACGTTTGTAAAAATTGACACGTCTCTACATTTCCTTCGTATGAAACAGCCCGGTCATTAATGCACTCCGCGCATAAATTCCTTCACAAAATACTACGAAGCGTTTGCATTGAAAGGCGCCAGAAAATCAAGAATGGTGAGTTCGTCATATATAACGCGTTGATGTGGCATATCTGAAGAGCTTTACCCGAATTGTAATTGAAGAGGAAGTAGATCGAACGCAAGGCGAGCCATTATAGAAATAAATGGCACTTCCGTGACCTGGAAAAAATTATAGTAAAAACTACGGAAAATCACTTACCACTGTTCTTTTACACAAAAACGCTTCAAAAAACAAAAATGAAAATCTTATTTTCAAGGAATGAATTTAATTGCGTCTACTATAGGCGTTTAAGAAAAGTTAGCTGAATGACAGAAACTGCGCTGGATTAGCATCGATCAGAAAGCAGAGTGCACTTGAATACGCATCACAGGTGCCAGGCATTTCCTCGGCGGATTTCCCTCGCATGAGCAATTGCTTTAATTACTAGTAAACTTTCGAAGTTGCAAACAAACCCGTCTTTTGGAAATTATTTGAACACTAGGAAATGCATTTAGTATCCCCAATGCAACTGCAAATCTACTTAAAATCCTCATATACTTCAAATCTTTCCATGTCTTCTTCACAGGATGGCTCCTAATAACTTAACTATGGGGCAAGCTGAAGTAATGCAATGCACTTACAATTAGCCCGCATGGTGGTCGCGCGTCACGGTGACCAGAACAAATTGCGGATCTATCCATCAAGAAAAATGGTGCTTTAAGAGTGATACCTCGATTCTGAAACTCCCCCTACAAATACGCCAAAAACGAATAAGCCGTAAGTGGAGGTAAGCTGTCTCTCCCCCCCCCCCAATCCCGGTCCACAGAGGAGGGGCTCGGCATGGGCAGACAGTTCGGCAGATCCGGCGTCTCATTACGGAGTCGGAGAGTAGCCTGGCAGCGCCAAGCTAGCCAGTGTAGTGCGAGGAGGGCACGGCCCCCGGCGCGCCAGCCCGTTGGCGCGTGGTCGCCGCGCCGGCGTGCTTGCGCGACTGCAGCTGGCGCCGCCACCCGCGCGGCCGTAGCTTCCGCCGCCGGATAGCGGACGACGACGGCTTGGAGAAGGTCGCGCGGCGATGAGGGCGTCGCGCGGCGGAAGGCGAGGAGCACACCGCAAGCGCCGGCCCCCGAGCCGGGCGCCGGCTTGAACTTCGGAGCCGGGGCGGCGGGGGCTGGAGGCGCGCGCGGCGGCCGCCGCCGCCGCTGCCGCCGCCGCCGCCGCGGGCGCCGGGCTAGCCGGCGGCTGGCCCTCGATGCCGATCAGATGCTTTGAGTTCTCGAGCAGGTGCTGGATGAGCGCGTAGTTGCCCATGCGGCGCTGGATCTGGTGCGTCTGCTCGTCGCACGCCGACGGCGCCACCTGCGCACGCGCAGCCGCTCACTACTCGCCCACCTGCTGCCCCCACATCGAGCTCGGCGCTAATATTGCCGCTGACCCTAGTACAATACAGCGCCAAAAGCTCGGAGAATAAAATTCGTAAACGCTTTTCCGGAAAGTGGCCACTGCCATACAACGCAACTGCGATAGAAAACACCCCTCCAACGTCTTATGTATAACATTAATCGCACCTTCGTTTGCCTCTTTGGGGAGAAATTTACATCAATCAGAGAATTGAGAAGTCAATTGAAAGCATCTCTTAGATCATATGAACAAAATGCGTCTACCTAACACACACATTCATAAAATATGCCAATCAGGTCGTGAGCTCCAGCGATACTTTTAAATTGTCAAATGGGAGGAATGGAAATGAACGTTTTATTTTGCAATTAAAACGTACAATAGTAATTGCTACTCGTCACAACACTGATGGTAGAAACACAAGACACAAAATGGTTAAAAAAGCCCTTACCGACCAAATTTTTAATTAAACAAGTTTAAATTACACTGTCACAAGTACAATAAATTTAATGTGGATTAATGTACGACTATGCATTAACTTTAATGTACTTTGTACATTAAAAGGATATTGTGTTTGTGCATTACATTTATGTTTAAATTAAAATTCTCGCAGATATTATATATTTACTGTAACATATTATCTGTTAAAAAACAGAAATATCTTATTCCACTATTTTAACGCATAGTAAATTTAATATATAATTTTTATTTGAGCTTTATTTTTTATTCTGTACAACAATTATCTTTTTCCACAAAAATGTTTAGTTTAATATTGTATTTGAACATTCACTATTCTCAGTTCTTCTGCGTTTTGGGGGTCTCGTTTGTCTTTATTGTGAGAACACCGTAGGAAACTCCGAACCCTTCCACTTCCATCTTGCGGGCAAGACAAAAGGGTGGCGGATTTCCCAGCCTGTCTATTTCAGGTACTCAAGTGTCTGGGATGCATTTGTATTCTGAAGCTCTTGTAGCCGTGTTCTTACGTGCTAGAGTAATAGTAGACAATTAAAACTTATGCAAAATCACAAAAACGTCATAAAATGTTAATATGAAAGCGTGTAAAACACGTTCTTCACTTCCTGTTGTCACAGCAGCTCTCTAAAGCGGTTTGCGGTTAACATCGAGAGAAACGGAAGCAATTCAGGCATCATGGATTTGTAATTTTGGTAAGGTCTGATGCTTACCATAATGGTAAGGTCTGATTCATATTAAGTAGTATTACTTATTTAATATTTTCATTATTAACATTATTAAATATTTTCATTCATTGGTGAAATTAGTCAATTTCCACCAATTGATGGATATGTGCTGCAGATTGCAAGTGGCTGTCTAAATATAAGAATGGACCAAACAGTTCAGGAAATGAGTGTGACATAGTAAGTCCAAAGTAAATAACTGTAATCCTGGAACAAAAAGTTCTATTTTGTAAAGACGTTATTGAAGGTGTGATAATAGCCAGCTATTGTGTGTTCGGGTATACCTACTGTGCAAAATTAGAAACAACCCTCGGATTCTATGACGGTAAGTTGGAGTTTTATTACTATTATGCACTAAATTAAAAATAATGTTTCATTAAATAACATTATTATCGATAGAACATTTGAAATAAAATTGTTAAATTCCATGCTTAAGAATTTTTAATAAATAAGCAATTGGTCTCAGTTTTAAGTAACAGTAAAATTGCATTAAAGAAAACATTGCAAAATGGGTATTGTTAAATAGAGAATGGATTGTATCCCTACGAACCAAATACTTTTTCTGATTTAGTAATTTCTTGAATGACCAAAGAAAGGTAACAGTATATATTTATAATTTTACCATATAGTAATAATATTACTAATAGTTTGTTTCACATTAAATCGATTTTCTTTCTCATTTTGTTCTTTTATTTGTATCGTTCTTTTTGTACTCAGTTCCTACGTACAAGCAAATCCATTGCCGCTGTCAATTATTTTTGTTATTTGTTTAACAGTATAAAAAGGTAATGCCTAATAATTATTAATAATAAAACTATTACTTTCAGAGAAATTATGAAAACAAATCGAACGGGAGGAGGTAAAAGGCCTCAAAAAGATGGCGGAAAAAAAATTGATTCCGGAGTTTTTAAATTGGCCAAAAAAAATGGACAAAATACAACGAAGTGTACATTTTAATAAGTTGTGAATTTTTCGTTTCTCAAGTGCTGATAGTTTTGTATTTTCGGAGAAAATAAATTTGTGTATTAATAGAAGTAAAATATTAATTCATTCTTCCATATTCAATAAATAGATAATGTAAATAAATTTTTAGTAAAATTGTTTCAATAATATTTGATACACAATTTAATGATTATTTATGCACTAAGGGCAATATTAGAGTTCTATTGATACTAGCAACAAAAATCCATGTGTTAGGAGTAGACGAATTTGCTCTTTAAGAAGAAACAAAAAGCATGGGAAATTCAATGTACAACTACTTTAAAGTTACTGTACGTGTACATTACATTCAATGTGCATACATAACAATTACTTTCGTGTACATTTACATTAAAAGTAATTCAGAAATTTCTGACATTGTAGTACAGGCTCTTATGGAAAAATTTCGCGAGCATAGTTTTTCATAAGTTATTGGAGAAGTTATACGGTGAATGTGTTTTTTTCTTTTATTCAATAAAAAGTATTTTTTTTAGGAAACGGGTGGGACTTAGGGCTGGTTTCTCCAACAGCCGAGTAAAGTTAAGAGTTGTTTACCAGAGAGGAAGCACTACGCTTATTCTACCATAGTTACTCTCTAGTAGAACACATGCGTTTCACTACGCTTGTGGGGAGTTATTTTACCCTAGAGTACAAACTCTCCAATTCACTCCGCGAACTAGATGAACGCACAATTTTTGAGAAAGCGATTCAAAAGGACGAGAGCGAGAGAGACGCCATGGATAAATAATGATGTTAAAAAAAATAATAAACCCACAACCACAACAATTGCAATATACCAGATTCATGATACTGTAACAATGCGAACCACTGGTTAATTCCTTATATTCTATCATTAATTTCAATTCATTTCAGTTTCGGCGGCGACTTGGCGTTATAATATTGTGTGATGTTATGGTGATTTGGGTTGGCGTAGTTCATTTATTAGTTCTTGTATCTTTATTTCTTATATAAATATTAATTATTCTTCTTCTTTGGGCGTAAGTATTTTGTTAGCAATGCAGAAAAATCAAATCTGTAGTTCGTTTATCGATGCAAATATATTTTCTATAACACGGGAACGAAAATGTCTAGTTTTCAAATGTTGCTAATCTCGAGCTTTTTTAAATTCAACTTTTATTTATCTTTCAACTATTTATAGTTAAAATGTTGGGAAGAGAATCTGGAACTCCATAAAACGTGCGCAGATCATTGTCTCCCCTATACGCCATACCCAGTTTTAGTTTCTTAGTATTAGTAGCCCTTGTAGATATTACTTTTCCTTTTGTTATCGTATACTTAATAATTTAATTTCGTATCCACATGAGTGAAAAAGAAATTTACGAGTCCCGTAGAGTTTACAACAGTGATATATATACTAATAACTGTTTGTATACAGATCACTGGTTTATAATGTACCTGAAGAAGTTAACCACTGTTTTGGTCAAACATAACCCCAATCGTCATATAATTGGAAAACGAATCCAATCTCTCCCGCATCCATTGTCTACGCACTCTCTAGTGTATAATATTCCGAATCATAGCTAGAATCATCTTCAAATACTTCGTCTTATTCGTCGAGCCATACCAACACTTCGGAGGTACACGCACGTTGAAAATTGGGCTTACACCGTATTTTAGCCAAGTAAAGTTACTCTTGAATATACTCTCATTTAAGCGAGTTACACTCGAGTAAAGTGTCGGTGAAACGCTCCAAGAAGTAAACATGATTTACTCCAGAGTAAACTCGATCTCTTTGTTTGGTGAAAAAGGCCCTAAATTTAGCATACCTCACGGGCATTCTAAGGAGTAATTGATAAAAAACTGCTGCGAAATTCATCGCAACAGGAAGTATTGACCTTCGGCCTAGGAGTTATGCTGTACGAGTTATGCTGTACAAATCATGCTATTGTCACCATTGTTTCTCTTGGGATACAAGATAAAAACACTCCGTTTTAAAATTGTATACCACATACAATTTCACGCTATTTTACTTTCATTGTAAACAACGTGAACTAATACACAACGCAGAAAGAAAGACAGACAGAAAGAAAGAAAAAGAAAGAAAAAAAGAAAAAGAAAAAAAGAAAAAGAAAGAAAAAAAGAAAAAAAGAGAAAAAAGAAAAAGAAAGAAAAAAGAAAAAGAAAGAAAAAGAAAAAAAGAACGAAAAAGAAAAAAAAGAAAAAAAGAAAAAGAAAGAAAAAAGAAAAAAAAAGAAAAAGAAAGAAAAAAAGAAAAAGAAAGAAAAAAGAAAAAGAAAGAAAGAAAGAAAAAGAAAGAAAGAAAGAAAAGTACGCGCTGAAGTCAATCTAACCTATATTTGATACTGCCAACTCATGAAATAAAAAAATCATGCGAGACTAAATGTATAAGTAAATATTGTTTTTCTAGAGAAACTCTTCAATACATCTCTTTTAACTATTCACAAATAATTATTTAAATGCTTTTTCGCGCTTCCAAGAAACTATTGTTAATGTGAGATAATAAATGGTCGAGTGTTTGACTAGCGACTGGTACGAACATACCAGCTTGAATGAAAAGAGCATACAATTACATAATGCCACTCAATAACCCCTGTACAATCGGTTCGATTAATTTAACCAATTTCCAGATTAAACTTATAAGAGAATTAGAAGGGAGAGATGCGAACAGCAAACTACTCGTATTACTACTAACATCCTTGGCGTTGTGTTCCCATAGTAACCACACGTGGCAACATCACAATCATGACTCATGCGTTAAGGACCGTTCGGGGAAGAACCGGTAACGAGAATAATGCTCAATTCTGGCTACACTTGCGCTCGGACTTTCCCGCTACACTACTGTGGTGACGCGTTTCTCCGTAGTTGGCAGAACTTGTTCCTTAACCCATAAATAGCAGGAAAGAAATTAATCTGTATCTACAAAAACATGTGTACGAGCATATTTGTAGCATGCAAACTGTACCTTTAATGACTACAAATCTGCACTGTTGCCATGAACATAAAATGATTTTAGAATTGAAGTGCCTGGCAAGCACCTGCAAATCTGCAACACTGAGATACGCGTAATGCTGACATGTCAGGAAATTAGTGAGATATAAGAAAATATGGCCATCGGAGGGGGGAGATCCGGACAGTTGAATGGTTGGTTGTACGGTCGCCTACACACGACACTGCTCACAACAGTTTTGCAGCAGTTAGGCTGGAAAGTGTCCCAAAAAATATGTAGTAAGAAACGGAAAAATCTGTACATTGATATAATATGTAACATCAAATGTATAGAACATTACATCCATACACGAAGTTTAATACTTTAAAATTATCACGTATGTATTAAACATTTAAAAAATATTGCTCGGCTAACTGGATTAACTCTTAAGAGTACATTTTAATCTTCGGGAGCAAATAATAGCCTTCGTATAAAACGTGGGAACTCTATGATCGGCAAACACCGTAGCATTGTCTACAGTGTTACTTGCATGTGACAAATGATAACACGCGGAAATAGGGATTTAAGATAAAAAACGCGTCACTAATGCTTTCCATAGCGAAAGGTAAAATTTTCAACGCTTAAGTATCTTTTGAGAAATAAATTTCAATAAAATTGGTTGAATAATATATGCTTTGCGAAGTTTTATAAAATATATGCAAAATATGTAAAACATTACAAAACTTGTAAAACTTTGTAACGAAAAAATTGTATATTGTATTAAAAATTATACATCAAGATTACAATTTTGATAACTGAACAGTGAAAGACAAACAATATATGTTATTTCAAATATATAATCAAAATTACGTATGAATACGAGCTCCATTGATCATCCATGCTATAGTCCGAATCTCGCCCTCCAGAGATATCCACTCTCTCTTCAACATCAAGACATTCCTGTCCAGCCAGCATTATAGGAATCAGTGTCTTAAGAGTTATTTGTGGTTGTCAAACACAGATACTTATTTCAGACAGCAGACTTCTTTGACTCAGGGATACAAATGCTAATTCCACGGTTTAAGACAAATATTTCAATTCTGGGGGTGATGAGAAAAAATAGTGCTGCTTCTGATACAATACGTTGAATGTGCTGCTATAACGTATCTGCTACAATAACGTATTTCCATTAAATTGTGTTTCCATGTTGTCGACGAACCAAACAAACTTACTCCCTGTATGCGCCTCGTAGAATATCCTGAATTTGTTTTAAGAATAAATTAATTTCATAGCGAAATTATCAGGCCTTCACCACTTTTAAGCCAGATTGTTGTCATAGTTTCAATTTTCTCAAAATTACTAACAATTACGAAACTCTACACACACGCGCGGAATCTGAACAGCAATCCGGCGAAGTGTTCGCGCCAACAGCTTACGGAGCGGGGATCCATTTGGACAGTCCTCGGAGACGCACCGCTTCTACTACGATTCTCTTTCCACAGCCGCTGCACGCAAGGTCAATGCCAAGCAGCCGTAGGGCGTGGCCCCACAATCAGGCAATGCTCAATGCACTCCCGAACTCCCATCTCCAGTGTGTCGATGTCATGTTTCAGTTTACTTGTGCTTAATGACTGATGTACGCAAGGTATGAAGTGAGAGTGAAGGAAACAATTCTCAGAAGCACAAATTCATCCAATTGAGAAGTGATTGTTTGGATTTCATTTCTCATGTTCTTTCCTGAAACACCCATCCTAGGGAAAAAAGTGTCTTCTACCTATAATAAATACATTAAAATAAATTGTGTTCTTGTTCTAGTAAGTGTCGAAAATTCAGCCAGCGTGGGGACTCGAACCTAGGACATGACCAGAAGCCCTGCAGTGACATCATGACTTGAGCCACCTCTCACGGTATGAATATTTGAGAATTTCATTGTTGAAAGCCGAGAGAGATAAGGCAACTTGATTTACTTAACGTCAATGCTACAATGTTCTCTGCATTCAATAAAATGGAATATTCACCTTAAGTAGAATAGGGGAAAATAAATATATATTACATACATACACAAATACGCACGCAGTAATGCTATCGTAGTTTCGAATGCATTCATAATGCGATGTATTGGCGGGCCTTTGTGTCTAAATGTTTAATTTATTTGAGAAATTATCCTTTGCGCGATGTGTAGTGTGTATGTATGTATGTGTGTATGTATGTATGTGTGTGTGTATGTGTGTGTATGTATGTGTGTATGTATGTATGTGTGTGTTATTATAGTGTGTGTGTATTTGTGTGTGTATGAGTGTGTGTATGTATGTGTGTGTGTATGTGTGTATGTATGTATGTGTGTGTATGTATGTATGTGTGTATGTATGTATGTGTGTATGTATGTGTGTATGTATGTATTGTGTATGTGTGTATGTATGGTATTATGTGTGTTATTGTATGTATGTATGTGTGTATGTATGTATGTTGTGTATTATGTATGGTGTATGTATGTGTGTATGTATGTATGTAGTATGTGTGTATGTATGTATGTGTGTATGTGTGTATGTATGTATGTGTGTATGTATTGTATGTGTGTATGTATGTATGTGTGTATGTATGTATGTTGTATGTATGTATGTGTGTGTATGTATGTGTGTATGTGTGTATGGTGTATGTGTGTATGTATGTATGTGTAGTGTATGTATGTATGTATGTATGTATGTATGTATGTATGTATGTATGTATGTATGTATGTGTTGTGTATGTATGTATGTATGTGTGTGTATGTATGTATGTGTGTGTATGTATGTATGTGTGTGTATGTATGTTGTGTGTGTATGTATGTATGTGTGTGTATGATGTTATGTGTGTGTATGTATGTTGTTGTGTGTATGTAGTATGTGTGTGTATGTATGTATGTGTGTTATGTATGTATGTGTGTGTATGTATGTATGGTGTGTATGTATGTATGTGTGTATGTATGTATGTGTATGTATTGTATGTATGTATGTATGTATGTGTATGTATGTGTGTGTATGTATGTGTGTGTATGTATGTGTGTGTATGTATGTGTGTGTATGTATGTGTGTGTATTATGTGTTATGTATGTGTGTATGTATGTGTGTATGTATGTGTGTTGTATGTGTGTATGTAGTGTGTAGTATGTTGTGTATGTATGTTATGTATGAATACACACTACAATATATGAAGACAATTTACTTTTCAGAAACGTAGAAATACTTCAGAAAACGTGAATTGTTTATTATTTACAAAATAAATGAATATATTTGTTCACACAATTAACACAGAGATAATGCAGCCGTGTTAATTTTCCTTTGGTAAAACAAGGTTGGTAAGCCTTTAATTATGAATGATGGAATTATGGGATGATGATGATGATGATGATGAGTGAAGGAACAATCACAAATAGGCCCACCCCTACGCATGACTGAACCCTGCAGCCTCCTCGGTGCTGACGATGGCCGTCTCAATCGCCTGCGCCACGGGGCCGGCATTTTACCATTCTTCTTCTTTCCTTCTTTTTCTTTCGGACCACCACTTGGAGTACGTTAGATCAATTACTTGTTTGTTTGTTTTTCTTTCTTTACGTTTCTTCCAATATTCCTTCATTATTTCAGATGTTGTCTTTTTTCTCTTTTCTGACACTTTTGGAATTACGTTTTTCTGGGAATTTGAGCTATTTATCTTGACTTTTTTCTGAACTTTTTATTATTTTCAATTGATTTATCAGTAATTTTCAATTCATTCAAGTCTTCTTGGATTAATTGAAACTGATTGCTCTTAGTTTTTCTATTTAAAAAGAACTCAAATATTTGTTTAGTTAATCTGGTTACTATTTATCCTAAATATATGGCCATAGAAACTAAATTATTATTATTATTATTATTATTATTATTATTATTATTATTATTATTATTATTATTATTATATCATATCATTATTTGCTTGTTATTTACATTACCTTATTTATGTAATTAGCTGTAACCGGGTTATACCCAATTGCAGTAGAAATAAATTTATTATAATTATTGTATTGCAATATGGCAAATTATTTTTTTCTGACGTTTCAGATATCGGAAATGCAAATCTCTCTTCATTTAAGTGCTTGAAACAATGTCTCTTTTCTGATGATTTCTAAAACCCAATTATACATAAAATGTTCCTTTTTGCTGCATACACGAGCAATAATGTTTTAGCAACGCTTTCATTATCGATTATATAACAGCGTTCGCCCATAACAATGCAGTTTACAATTAACGTTTCTTTACATTTTATATATTTATTAATTTAGAAAAATTTCTAAATTAACTAACTTATGTATTTTAAATAAAATAATATTTAAAGATCTTCTCAATTAACATTACAGTTTAGTTTTCTTCCCAGTAATATTTAAACTGGAGATGTGTTTCATTAAAAACTAAAATTACATACTTTTCCTACAAAACGAAAACGTAAGAACTCAATGATTTCTGAATGGTGACGGCATCACATTTAAAAACCGATATTCCATTCAGAATGAGGCATTCAAAACGTAAGATGCGAGCCAGAGCTGGCTACTTACCCGGACGGGCGCACCGAAGAGCGGCGCTCCCGCGGGCTCGGGCTCGCGCTCCGCCTGCGACATCTGCGCGCGCGCCTGTCGCTCGCGCTCCCGCAGGCGGTCCCGCTCCACGCTGCAACACACCACACACCACACACTTAGACACACCACAACACTCCAAGACCGCGCAATCAAAAACACTCAATGGAAGCGCAGCCTCATCTAACGGCCGCCTCAATTTACGGCCGTTTTTATAAGTGTAGGTATTCCCTCATTTAAGTGATCGCCAGGATACGAGATACCTTAATAAAATTAGATGTATTAGACAAAAATACTTTCCTAGTGAATTTGATCCGTAACGCTATATAAAATGATAGATTTTACTGTTGATTCGAGGTTACGTCTTGACACAGCGTCAGAGTACATAGAACTGATCTAGAATTCCTTACCTTGGGGCGACGTTCATTAGTTTCAAAAAACAAATTATTTTCACGCATGCTCTGAAGATTCTTCACGGGTAAATAGCTTGAAATCAACTTGGGAATCAAGCCCTCGAATGAAAAGAAACAAGTAATGTCCAAAGAAAAATAATGCAAATGTTGGAAATTGAAACATTTTGTAAAACGAGTAGTTTAAGTGGTTAGGTGTAAACATAATTCCGACATTTTGCATTTTTAATGTACTTAAAAAGCACGTGAGTATAACTTTGATACATCAAACTAACAATAGCACATCAAAAAGCATATTTCAGAAAGCGACTCAATAAATTGAAATTAGATTACGCTGGAACATGTTCTGTGAAACGATTTGAAGAATGTGTCAAAATTAGCAAAGATGAAACAACTCACAGATAGGGTTCTACTCTCAGACACTGCCTTTATCTTCACAGATAACGATATCAGACGGAACGATGCGCCCCACTGCCACTTAGAAGACAAAAGCTGCTAGATCTTGCCATATTTATTATCGAAGGAGTATGTATTTATGCATATTAACGAACTGTATCGTAAATAGAATTCAAATTTACACTACATAACACACAGTATATATATATATATATATATATATATATATATATATATATATATATATATATATACACACACACACGTTCACACTCATTTCAACGTTCGAAATATTTATTGTTTCACACATCCAGACAATTTTAACCACCATCAACGCATATGGTCCGCTTCTTCACGAATATTTTACATCCATGGTATTAATACGTATCTCAACAAGAAAAAAATAACAAACAAACTCTCTGCAATACACAAAACAATCTAGTGGTGCAACCGAAGAGCACAGACTTTCTCGTACTAGTTAGTGTGCTAATTGATTTCGTCTGTGAGTAGCTTTTTGAGTTGTACATACTCTTGCCAGCTGCCTCAACTCGGCAGCACCACTAGTTTACAATTAATTGGAATTTTACAATCAGTTGGAATATCTTCTTTCGCTATATTACACATCTTGGCCGGGATAGCTGAAACCCGCTAGAGAGCAAACCGCGAGTTCATCGTTTGAGCCGAATGGAATTATCCTATGACTCGGGACAAGCCTGCCGAGCATTCGAGTTAGACACAACATCCCAAGGTCCTTGGAGTAATTAGCAGGAGTCGGGAGGCGGGGGCGAGCGTGGTGTCGCGTCGCAACGCTTAGCTTCGCTTCGCCTCCACGAGCAGAAATCGTTCGCTGCTCCGTGAACATCGGCCTGACCCCGCCCCCCACGAGGATGCCGCTCGGCGACCAGTCTCCATGCCTCACAGACATTGTGCCGCCGCCGCCGAGCTAAGCGGAAGAGACGTGCCAGTGCGTGGGACGGATATCAATCAACTAGAGGGAGCGAAGATAAGCACGGGAAAAGAGGAGCAGGAATGGCAGAGAGAGATGCAAAGTTGAAGGGTAAGTCTGTTTCGGTTGGATTATTTGACGGTGGCGGGAGGGGGGAGGGGGAGGGGCGCGGGGCAGCGGCTGCTGGGCTTGACGCCGCGCGGGGCCTTCCGGCCGTCGCGTCGGAGAGGGAGGCATTGCCGCGAGGAGGAAAGCGAGCGGACGCCCCTCCCACCGGAAGGAGGAAATTGGCGCTGTAATGCTCTGCATCTGCCCTTTCCCCCTCCGCCCACGCCCCCCCCCTCCGTCTGCGCTCCGGCGGCTCATGACGCGCGCCTCGCACAACGCAGCAACAATCAGCAACCATCAGCACTTCGCCTATCTCCCTACAATTTTAAATAAACAATTCATTCGCACTCCAGTTTTTCGACACACTTCATCGTTACGTCAAACCTAGGCGATAATTGCGCCTTTACAGTGATCACTAACAATACTACCATATGATGTACATTTCACGATATATTCGTCGTGAGGTTACTTTCGTCTTTCATACGTCAATTTTAGCCGGGAATAGCTGTACGTAGTTAACTGATTAAAAGAGTTATTGGGCAGTAGAGTTATAGTATATAAAACAGATTTATGCACATCCTCGATAAATTGCGCTGTTTATTATGTACTCTCTAACACTAAAAAAGTTAACCTGTTGCTCCTCTTCCTAGAGTAAACTATACAGAGAAACGTACTTGCGTGCAATTCACGAAGTTATATTATGAACATTGACAGTTTCACGACACAATCAGCGAATGCTGTAAGTCATAATATTTCTGTTGAACACGGAGCATAGCATGTCTTCCGTTTAAAATGCCAAACTCGCGAAAGCACATCATACTCAAAGGGACACAATACCGGCTGTTTCACAGAACCAGAACTATTTTTCTTTTCGTTCCTAATACAACCACGGAAATGCAAAGAAAATGCATTTCGTTGCACTACATCCAACAAACTTGCAAAACACCACACACATGTCATCTTCATGAACGTACCTGTGTGTCCAACTAAACGATAGAAACATAAACTCAGAAGCTGTGTGGGCTGCACCGAAGTCTCACCCATCGTCTGCACATCACAACACACGAGAAAAAGAACAACTCCCCTGGAAGAGTGTCGCAGGTCAACTGAAGCAATTTACCTGCGCTCACAAAAGGGTACCACGTGAGGACGCCAACGCCTAGCGATGAGTCACGAGGAAGGGCTTTCGCGGCAAGACGCACTGTGGGCATGGAGATAGCCCAGCTGTATTGTAAAGCACGGTGGCCTCACAGATTAGCCAAGGGCGTCGGGACCAAAAATAACTAGCTTCAAAATTATCTCAATTTCTTACACTTTCACTTTGGTTTTCAAGTGCATGCACTTCTTCAGTATACACTAATCGGCTCGGTACAGAATTTTATAACTATAACTTATAAATATACTTTCAAATGCGGTGGTGTAAGGACTCGTTGCTCTTAATTCGATACCAACACCCTTCCTCCGCCTCCCCCTCGCGCTAAGACAGGCGTATTGTGACCGTGCGCCGGAAAATTGGGAGTTTTCGACACAAATACTCCTATTACCGGGCCCTAATAAGGAAAAAGTGAATAAATCCAGTTGTTAAACAGAGAAAAAAAATCCTCCAACACGTAGTGTTCCCAGATTCCATGTTTTGTGGGTCCTTCATGCCGAAAAATTGATTGATGGCAAACTTTCTGTCTATCCGGGCACAACGCTGGCGCATGAAGTTCAGCAGATTTGCCCCAAAAGTGGAATTTCCCAATAGTTATAGCTGATGACGTGGACCTTGGAATTTGTAATCGAAATTTTTTACTTTTTGAGTACTTCACATGAAGCCCCTGGGACATTTTCAAAATTAAAAAAAAATGGCTCCAAATGTTTTGATTAAATGTTTATGTTGAATAGTGCAAATGACGTTTAAAATAATGGTCTCTGACTTCACCGTGTTTTCCAGGAAAAAAAAGAAAAAAGAAAAAAGAAGAAGAAGAAGAAGAAAAAAAGAAAAAAAAATCAAAATCAGAGATAGAGATTTTTGTTTCAGACAAAGTCACTTTTTCAAAATTAGCTCTTCAATGAAGGTCATGTACATTTTTTTTTTAAAATACGAGTATTTTGCGATATATATTTACAAAACAGAAATTCCCCCAAAAAAACCTACACAGTTTTCCTTCAACATGTCTTTAACTCATATAATAAGTGACTATGAAAAATATGGCACTAGTGTCATTTTCTGGTATTGCTCACTTTTTTGAAAATTTAAAAAAGTTTTAACTACAAAATTGATTATAGAGAGTTTTGCGAAGTACAGAGTCTGTTGTACAAAATAAGTTCTTTAGAAAAGGTCATGTACAATGTTTTGAAAAAACGAGTAGTTTTTGCGTAATTTCTTCTTGAAATTAATGAAATATAGTATACAATTTCACACCAACTACAGCCCTCGAGAAAAAAAAGAATATAATGGAAAATATTTAATTTAATTTTAATTGCTATTTTCTATTGAAAATGCCAATATTAATACTATTTTTTCCTTTATCGTTTTTACTTTTTACTCAATGCATTGATGAATTTCTTTTTTTAAGCAATCCGCAAAGCTTAATAGAAATTTCGCAACAATGCCGCATCTATTGAGAAACACTTGTTTTGTTTATACCTTATCTCTTCCAAGAAACCATGGACGCCCTCTTTGTTGAAAAGCAATAGAGTTTATCGTAACTGAAGTGTCGATGTTAGAAGTTGGTGACGAAATGAAACGCTATAGGAACTTATCTTTAGACGAAAGGCATCTCACGAATGTTCGTAATTATTTTGATGTCATATATCATAATTAGTGTATTGATATTATTAGCCACGAGAATACACATAGTTGCGATAACGCTGCTGTGGCAACAGTGCGTTGCTCACTTGGCTGAATTGGTCATTTTGAAATAATGGTCGAGGTGTTAATACCGCAGAAAATGCAATATTTCAATAATATGTAGAAGTTTCCTATAACGCGAGAAAGTTTGTGCTGTTTGAGCACCACTAGTTAGCAACACGTGCTCTTTGACAAAATCTACCACAACAAAATTAATACCGCCGTATCCGGCTGTATCCGTTGATAATTTAGAATTTTACACCTTGAATTATGAATAATGAAGTGACCGGATGATAACGACGGGTGAAGGAACATAATTACGACGCTGGCTACGTAGCACTCGAACCTGCAGCCTCATTGGCGCAGTCGTCGGCTGCCGTAACCGCCTGCGCCACCGGGTGGATTGTTGTATAATAATAATAATAAATATAATAATATAATAATAAATATATGAATATAATAATAAATATAATAATAATTATAATAATAATAATAATTAATAAACAATTATTATTATTTGATCAACATATCATTCGCCATGGGAAGCAAAAAAACGTTTCCTCAGAGGAAGAAAGACATACAAATATATTTGAAATGTAATAACCAACTGATCCATCTAATCACTGATTCGTAATTCAAATGATAAGCGAAATGTAAACTAAATGTTCACTTGTTCCTAAAGTTTTACGAGCTAACTAGAAAGCACAAAGGATATTTTACAAAACCGTTGA